AAAGGAGACAGACGTACACCTGAGACAATGTGGAGAAAAGGCGAGCAAGAGAGCAGGGAAGCAAGACAGCGACAGAAAGCCATCCAACGCCACATGGTATGATTTGTGCGTACATGAACACGTTGTACTTATGCAATTCATAAGAAAGAGAACAGAAATTACGCTGCTTATTGTTTAATTCATTGTCGTCCATTTTTTTTTTCGTTAACTTTTCAGATCTCCTTTTAAATTATATTCATCATCATTACGAGTTTGGATTGTTGTTATTATTTCGTTAAAAAAATGCGCGTGACCCTTTATTATTAAAAATATGTGTGTTTTTTTCTTCTTCTTCTGACGTTTGTGCGGCTCATTCTCTTTCACTGCATTCGCTGTGACTGCTGCTGTCGATTTTGCCATCGTTTCATATGAAAAACCAAATTGCTGGTGAAACAAAAACAAAACGTGAACGAAACGAAAAAAAAATTGTGATGTAAAAAAAAGGCTTCATCCGCTGTTTATCCAATATTAAACACGCGAAAGTCTAGATTGTTGTGTGGATTGACGAGTAATAACATTGTTGGTGTTGTTGTTGCTGTATGAAGGATGAAGAAAAAAATTCCCTGCGGCTTTTTCTTCACTCGCTCCATCCCGTTTGGCATTTGGCTTGCACACACAAACATAACGCTTACACACTCGCACTCAAAACTCGATTACTTCGCGACCAAAGAGAATTACAATTTGCATATCTGCCAGAAACAACGCACTGCAAAGAAGCAGAAAAAAATCATCGCTAAAAAATAATGAACGCAAATAATTATATAATTTATTTAAAAAAAAAAAAGAATCCGGTATTGGGAATAATGAGTGAAATGAGTGCTGTTGGTACTTGTTCATTGGATTGAAAGAAAAAAGCAGCAGCAACAGCAGAATCCCGTGCAAATGGATTTGTGAATGTGCGTTTTGCTTTTCAAATTCAATGAATGGGCGCTGAATGAATAGCGAGAGCTGATTTTTCACAATACAAACGCACATATCGCGAGAGGAGACTCACGTGGATGCTGCTTAACACTCTCTGTTGGTCTGAATATATCGCGACCAAGCTATATATACATATCACACACACACGAAATGCAAGGCTGTGAACAACAGCGGAGAGAAGAAAAAAAAAATCGCACCACAATTCGAAAACCTTCGGCAGACAGCCCAAGAAAACAATTTGACAAGTACCTTTATTATTATTATAAGAGCAACGCTCTAGTTATTTTAACTGCTTGGTTATTTTTTGCTTTTGCTTTTGTTGTTCTTGTCGTCGAATGTGTATTTAAAAAAAGTATATATAATATGAAGTGAAGAGAAGAAAAAAATCAGCTCTCAGCGCGTTGGTTTTTCATTTGGTCGCAACCAACCACTATTGTTCGCGATCCGCGTTTTGTACACATGTGCGCGCCGGAGATTTTTTTTTCTTCTTCCAACTCTGAATTAGTTAACTTTTCTGCATGTCTCCTGCGTTGTTTTCCTCTCCTCTGAATATGCCGAGCTCGCAGGTTTGATAGTTGCCGAACGTATGCGTTCATACACCCGATTTACATATATCGTTTTGATGAACACGCGAAAAACCGACACACAAACGCACAACAACCAAACGAAAAACCAAAACCGGTACGAGACGCGTGCACGCGATGTATGTGTATTCAATGCAATAACAAATAATCTCCCTTCAAAAAATATCATAATAGCCATGTACCAAAGCTCGCTTTTTACCCGTGTTCCACTTAATCATATCGAGTCGCGCGTGTTTTTTTTCCTCTTCTCTCCACCATTCTCGCTCGCTTTGCAAACCTCGTCTTTTGTTCTCGATTTTTCTTTTGTGTTCGATCACTAGTTGGTTTGCTCGTTCAAATTCAAATGAAAAAAAAATTAATTGTTCAAAGGCACAAGGAACTTCATTTGAAAACTCTGCAAATGAGTTTTTATTTGACTTTGCCTCTTTTCTCTCTCTCTTTAACTCGGTCGCTCGGTCGGTTCGGCCAGAGATCATTACACCACGTAATCACAAGTCACTTTGACTTCGACAGCAGGAAACCACGAAAACAGTGAAGACGGTGTGTGCGTATTTTCAACATTTCCATGCGCTGATTTGGTGAAAAGAATTTTAATTCTTTTTATTCCGAAGGCAGTTTGAGCGTGCTCAAAATGATTTGACTGAACCAATGAACCGCAAAACCATTTTTTTTCAAACGGAAGTTTAAATAGCGCCTAATTGAATGATGACAGATTATTAGTATCATTGAATATAACCTATTGTTGAGGTGTGTTTTGTGCTTCCAAAAAATTGTATTTGATTGTGACTGTGACGGAGTTCGAACGGCGAATCGAAATCGATAAAAGATGAGAATAAAGCACACATGCACAGGGATATATATAAAAGGATGTTCTATTTGTTTGATATTTCTTTTAATTTTCGCATTATTCAGCTAACATCGGCAACGAATAATTTCTACTTGGCTTGATATTTCGCATACACACACACACTTACGGAACATGTGAAACGTGTGTAAAATCTTTTCTATACACTTGGCCGATTTGATATAATTTTTTTTTTCCATTTTAAGTCGAGTGCACAGGCCGATCTCGATGTGGGTAAATATCACTGTTATAAACAACCCGCTTCACTCTTCAGCGACCAGTCAGTTGTCGTTCATCGAGTACAAAAGCGCCATCCATTTGATTCTGCAATGGATATAGCCATTGGACGCTGAAATAGCAAATGCAAAGTGAAGACGAGAATGAGCATAGAATTTAGTTGGTGCTATGTAATTTTGCTCAGAGAAAACGAGGAAAAAGAGGGAAAAAAACAGATAGAGAGAACCATTAGATGTAGAAAATATCCTCGACGGACGACAGAAAATCATCATACCATTACTCGTCGTCATTGCCATCGTCGTATGAGGTAATCGTATCTTTCCGTTTTCTGTGTTCGTTGCTAAGCCATTCAAATTCAATGTAAACCAATATCGCTGCACGTTGTTACACCTACAAAACCGTTTTCATCTCGAGCCCGTGAGCTCGAGCACTGTGTGTCCACCACCACCAATGCCGTTCGCATCTCACTCTGTCCATTGTCCATTGATAGTTTTTGCACCTTTTTCGCTTCAAATCACCTATCGCTCCATCTTCTTATAGAATGTGTAACGGTGGTGCTCATGTGTGCTTATCAGCAGGTCGCTTCTGCTGAGGGAAGGGACGAGAGCAACATGGAGAGGTGAAGAGAACATAAAAACGAAAATAACATGCGAATGAAACGAGAGAACACTCACCAAAGAGATAAATACACGGTTGAATAAAGTGTATGCATACGTTAGCTGTATCCTCGATACATCACCGAGCCGAAGAGACAAACAAGAAAAAATAAAGGCAGCAGCACACACATCGTTTCGTACACAGAATTTTAGCCCAAGTCGTCGTCGTCGTCGTATATGAATCGCGCTGAATATTTCAAGTGACCATTTCAGAACATACATAGTATAACTACAACCCACCATTCGTCGAATTCGGTGTGTTCTGTATGTCGCGCGCTCGCTCTCTCGCTCGTTCCATCGCACATACGCAAACTCGTCGCCGTTGACGCTGTCGTCAGTGTTGTTGTCCAACAATGGAAAATACTTAAGGCTCGCTGTGCTCGATCCACCGTTTAGTATGTTTATTTGCTGGCGACAAATGTAAAATTTTCGAGGGATGACAACGAGAAAGCGCGATAAACTTGACAACATCTGTGTTGTACTGCTTCTACTGCTGATGCTGCTGTACAGTCCACACGAAATACTTACACAATGACCATCATTGGATCCAAGAGATAGATAGAGAAAGAGAGCGAGCGAGAGCGCGCACAGCGAACTTACCAATTCAAATACACACACGTTCGCGTACCCAACCTTCCGATTCAATTTATTTCTCTTTGGTTGTGGACATAAGCGACCCATCTTTCTTCACAAAATATTATTTACAGCATCCACCATCGTCCATTGTCCATTGTGTATTCGCTTATTCATTCGTTCTTTCGTTCACTCGCTCGCTCGCTCGTTTGTACGTTCGTTCGTTCGTCCGTCTATTGGTTTTGCTTGCCTCTCTCGCTTCGCTTTTATTGTCAGTGTGTGAATTTCAACCGTTTCTCCCGATTTTGAATTGCTTTCGGGTGGACATTCGACCAATACCATGCGTGAAGATGTGATATTTGCCGACGACGAAATGCAAAACGAAAATGGGCAGAAAGGAGAGCAAAAGAGAAAAAGACACGAAACTCGAAGAAAATCGATTTCACACAGACCACCGAACTCTTACATACAATTTTCATAAAATATGTAAATGTATGAATGCATGAGAGCGCACAACCGGTGAATATGGACGCGCTACATTTCACTGTTATCTCACTCCCCTCCTCCCCGGTATGCTGTCATCGTCAACGACGAAAAATCCAAATGACAACAAAATTTAATTCAATCGCTGCGTACAGTGTATTGAGTCCGAGGGTATTCGTTTGACATTTTCTTATATTTGCATTTCAATTATTCCGATGACGATGATGGCGGCGGCAACGGCGACGGTACAATGAAGTCATTGACTTCGAAATTGATGCTTCAGCAACGCAATGTTATAATGTTTTACAACACGTTACAGCATCTAATCCGGTTTTCCGCTTTAATTAGAACAATATTGAAACAACAATCGAACACATTTGGCTTCGTTTACTCGATTCAACGTGCAGATTGAGACGACTAACTGTTGATTGGTTCCATGGAAAATACGAGAAAAAAAACTTTCAACGCATATGCTTTGATTTCTAATTAAAATTACGTTTTCTTTCCTAGCAGGAGGTTCGTCGCTTTTTCAATCCACCGAACGAACGAGAATAGATTTCTTGAATGAGTTGACTTTTAAATTAAATTCATAATACGCTAAAATACCCATTTTTACTACTTCAAATGCGTAACGAGAACAATTTCATTTCACTTTCGCTTCAGCCTTCTCGTTTAGTTTCACCGGATACACTGTTGAAACGTCGTTCGGGCAACAGTTTTGAAATGGCAACGCTTTTATGTAGTCTATTAATAGCCAATCGATATGGTGCCATGGTTGTAAGTGGGTATGCAAGTCGTGAGGTGACGAACAACGATCAGAAGCGAGTTAATTGTCCCAACATTCCAATCAGATTATCAAAGCAACCGGCTAAAGTACAGAAAACTAGTTTCTACAATTACATTCCCATATTTTGTACAATTAATTTTTTTCAACTCTTTTTCTCAAGGAGCCACACACTACAGGAAAATCCATTGAAATGATTACAAATAAATACGTGTTACGCGACCCGATCGATTTGAGGAGTAAATTTTTACTTGATGTCGAAGCACACAAATTACAAAGGGCATGCGATCAAGAACATCAAGAAATGGAGCGTCAATTGGAGGAATTGAAGATTTTGGAACAACTACCGGATGATGAAGATTATGGTCATCGAAGGCATTCGTGGGTTGTAATTCTGTCGAATGTTGAATGGGCCGCAAAAAAATCAGCCGATTCGAACCACGAATTCGATGCAACTACACCAATTCGACCATTTTTCATCGAACCCTCGACAGGACTTCATTTCTCTACAAACGATCGGAACTATTCAGCAATTGACAGCGTTTGGAATGAAAATAACTACTACGTTGGTTACAATTTGAAGAAGTATTGTTCCTTTAAAAAGGTAAATGAACGGGTTTTTTTTCTTACTTCATAAAAGGTCAACATGCAATATCCGAATGAAAACGCTCTTGAAAACATAAGATGGGACTTCGAAAACCGACAAAATTGGCAAATTCTATTGAATGAAGATTCGGTGGTTGATTTTGTGAAGAGAAGCGATACGCCCGATCAATTGCGAAGCGCCAATATCAATTTTTGCGCCCGATACTTGGATATGCCAATAAGTTGGGTGAAACAATTTCATGTGACGAATGCAGGCAAGTAGCCAATAAGCCCGGATAATAATCAAGAAAATTTCTTGGAAAAGGCTTTTGTTCTCAAAATATACTATGGATTACAGAATATGATGAACGTTATCCGAATGGATGCAAGAAGATTTATTACAAACGAGTGAGGCTGGAGTTGTTTGCACCGTATTCACACGACGATGGTGTTGTTAAACGACTAACTCAATACAAAAACTTGGACCATACCGATGAAATTGTGTGCTGGCAATGGTATCACAATCGAGAGGATTCACTTGAAACCGTCGAGAAGGACTTTGAAACAAATCAAATTATAGAAAATTACGCTAACGGTCGAACCGACTCTTTGCGCCGTAAATACTTGAATTTTCTGGGCTTTTTTGTTTCTTTCCAGGCAAATTGAAATCACACAAAGACGATAATTTCAACTTATTTCATAGGGTTCACTAGGCCAATTGAACGTGACGGTGAAAAAACATTCGAATACTACGACAATTCACGATTAGATGGTTTATTAAAACTTGAAGTGGCACCCGAATACGTTCGCGAGTACTATGAGTACAGACCAGACAGGTGATACGCTCGATTTCATTACAATTTTTGAAGAATATGATTTATGTGTCTAGTAATCGATTTATCTGCAATTAAATACTTCAGATTTCTTGTATTCCGCGAATTTGTCACCAATAAAAATGGCAATAAGAACCTACTTGTAAGTGAATTGAAATGCGCAACTTGTAAACAAACAATTGAAAGTATCGGCTTTCTTTTCTTCGGAACAGAAAATTGTTGAGAAGTTTCGTCGCAACGACCAAATTCCATTTCACGAAAACATTCTGAAGCGTACATTCGACATTGCAGAGAAAAAGATTATCTTGCAATTTCATTACGGAAACAACGATATAACGCCGACCATACGAGTTTATACATGCCCACCGAAACCAGACTATGGATGTGAAATACTTTTCTATGAAGAAGATAATCCAGTTGATGAGGTTCAAACGAAGAATTGAACTGTGTCCAACTTGTCATACAAATCATATTTTTTTTTCACTTTTTTCTCCTTCGATTAGACCAACAAGTATGAGAGAAATGTGCCGAAAATAGAACGGTATTACACGTTGCTTCAGCAACTTCGTGATCAAGATGAATGTATAAAAACATTCGAAAAGCGACTGTTGCACATTAAATCAACGATTGTAGAACATCAGAACAATGCCGAACATCCCATTTTGACAGCAAGCATTTATGACCCACTACGGAATACTATGTGGAGATCACGACGATTGGCTGAGGTGATTTTTTTATCAGATTCAAATATTTCACCGTATTTTGAAACTGTCGAATTTCAACTCGAAATTTCATAATGCATCGAATTCGAATTAGATCGATTTCAATTTTATGAAATGAAAATGGTAAATGAATATTGGAATAAATAGAAACTTTTCTTATCAATATTTTCCTTATAGAACGATCGAATCGAAAAGCAAGACACCTTGGCAAAAACCATGGCTCCAGATATCCTAGCACCGTATCTTGTTCACTTTGACACCAAACCAAATACCATCGAATCGGTGCAAATCTACGAAAAGTGTCTCAACGACATTCAAACTGACTTTACGGAGCGTTTGGCGGTACTTCGTAAAAAGCACGAAGATGTGAGACTGTTCAAAATAAGTGAATTTTTGAAAAATAAAAATGAAAAAAAAAACTGTTCTAGGTTTGTGCTGAAATAGAGAATCTCAAGCGGTATCTCGAATTGTATGGGAATAAAATTAAGAAAAAGGAATATGACGATTACATCAAGCATGGGTAAATTCAATCTGCTTACATCCTTATTTTCAATATTTGCACCATCAAATGTTGTTATGTTGTTCTTTTTCTTTCCAGCTTCGAGTTGAATCTTACGTGGCGAGTATTGAAACAGCGAATTATTGACGTTGAACAAGAGTACGAGCGGAAGTACAATGATGCAAAGGAGCAATTGAAGCATGACACACGCTTGACGGTCGACACAATCGTGCATCTCGATGAAAAAACACAATAAAACCAGAGTGTGAATTGCAATTTTTACTCATGTGTTTATTTACATAATTTCATTTGAACTTGTCTTATTTTTTGGAAAAAATATTTTTCGTCTATGTCATGTTGTATTTTTGTTTGTTTTTGTTTTTTATTCTTTTATTTTCACAGTTCTTATGGGCTAAGATTTTCTTTGTTAGTGTCTAATTTTATATCGTTCGTTCTACTACATCATTGAGATGTTTCATTCTTAACCACATTTTAATTTGTTCTTGTCTTCTTAAATTCTTGTGTGTGTGTGTTTTTTTTTGTCAAAATTTCATTTTAAAATAGAGATAATAATGTGCTTTAAAAGCAACGTTCTTTTCCCATTTTGAACATAACTAAACTACGAACTTTATCGGAAATAAATGCCAATGTCTATAATGTTTCAGGGGGAGGATCATATCATCATTATTGTTTTCTGTATTTTTTACATAAAACAACGACTTAAAATATAGGTAAAAATTGTTGAATTGGATTTAGTTGAATATGTCGCAATCAATGAAAGAATCGAATTTTATACTGATTTTCATTTGCTATGAGACTTCTTACATATGTATAGGGATGTTGTGTTTTTGTGTTTGAAAATTGATTTTTTATCTTCAACGTGAAATTAAGATAATCCGTAAATTTAAAGGGTTTTTTGAACAACTTTCTTTTGGCTAACAACTTTAATTTGAATATATAAAACTGAGGAAAACATTTGGTTTTTGGGGAACGGGCAGCGGGGTCGATTGGTGATTCATGAAATTAATTGGATATATATATGTGAGTGTGTGAGTTTCGAGTGAGGGGAGCAGGTCAATGGAAAACGATTACGATGTTAGTTGTCACTTTAATCATTATTATGATACATTTTACATTAGATTAGAACTTCCCTTTAATACGAATATGATTGAGATTATTTTAGACTATGTTCTGTGTGTGTGTGTGTTTGTCTGTCATATTCCCCTTCGTTCGTTCATTTACACATTCCCTTTCATATGAATCCAAAACCAGAACAATTTTACCCATATCCAATTTGTTCATATATTCGAAGTGACTGGACCGAACCAGCAAAAGTAAGACAAAACTTTGACTCAAAGTTACAACCACTGTGTTAATCACTCGGAAGAATTGCTTATCGAGAAGTTGATAAGGAAAACCCCCGTTGCCATGTGTGTCCCAATTTCGTCAAATCGCCGATGATAGTAATCAAATTTCTTGGAATTACATTCCAGTGCTCGTAAGTCTATCTCCCTTAATACACTTGACAAGCAATTTTCACTTTTGACTTCGGCTGTTACATTTATGCCAAGTATATTTTGTCTCAATTTCGCTGCCTCGACATAGTCGAATCGTATTTAATAGATTTACTAGATTTAACTTCACGTCGAACACAATCACTTGAATATCTCACACATTTTCTATTTGTCGTTCTTCACTTTTCTGACCGAGACCCGATGAAATTCCATATTCCAGCCACTCGAATTTTCGTTCAGTGCAACGCAGGTTATTAAATGATTCGATTTTATTTCTTTAAAATATCGTCAAATTTAAAAAGTGGTGGTCATTTAAAATGAAATCTCACTAGATACTTGTTGTCACTTGATTGATGTTGTCGACTAATTTTTTGAAAATAACAACAAAAAATTGTTTCCATTTTTTTCGTATTCGATTCCGTTTCACACTAAATTTTCAAATCACTCACTCGCTTACCTAAAACATCTAATCGTTTATAATGTGTGCTTAATGTTTTTTTTCTTCTTCTTGAATTAAACCATTTGATTTACCGCAATCTCTATCAATAGCTTATTGATAACGAGCCCGTTTGACCGATGCATCGACCCTCTTCGTCGAATGTAGCCAGCGTAAGTTTTGATAATTTGTTACTTAAAACGCCACAGCCATTGTTCTGAATTGGATTTGGTTCTGTAAAAGAAGGAACGAAAATGCAAATCAGCTAAAGACACTCACTTCAAAACAACCGAAGCAAACATTTCAGCAATAAAATAACACTATTTTTAACAATAAATGATGGAATAAATTACCTTCAGCTACATTTTCTGGTGGTTGTCCATTTTCACCCAATTTTCGGCGTCGCATTTGCTCGGCAAAGTGTGCTATTAAGGCATCCATCATTGGGGCTTGCTTTGAAAATACTTGCATCATTTTCGATGTGTGCATTCCATTTTCAACGGCATCAAACTGAAATACCGGTAACGGAAAAGAAGCGATTAAAATGAATCAAATCACATAGAATGTGTTCCACCATCTGGTGGAAATAATGGAAACTAAGCAAGGGTGGCAAATTCATTTTAAAGAAAGCTTTCCAAAAAAAAGCTTGAGCTTATGTGTGATCCTTTTAAGTGGAGTTCAAAACAAGAAAAAAAACGGTTGTGTATCCTTTTTGAGTGGAGCATTATGATCAAAGCTTTTCTGTTTACCTGAATGAAAATACAGGGCAAACAATCTGGGTCATCTGTTGCACTCGGTTTGGCCAAGTCCCACGACAGTTCCTCGTATTTCAATCCAAGAAGAAGAATCTGTAATTATGGAAATGAACCAATAATACGCTCTTATTCTCGATCAAATCCCAAGTAATCGCATCTTATTAGCTCTGTCCAATCAACACTCACCCCATTTATGTTATCAATAATAAAAACACCACGTTCGTTAATGGCCACTATAACCGATGCGTCTTGTTGATTGAATAAACCCATAAGGCCGCGAACGGGCTGCTCGATTTGCGCATGGAAAAAGGCAGAACTGTCGCCAGCGAAGAGAAATGAAACGAAAAAGGAACAGTGCAATAATTAATAATTCATGCATTTAGGTTAATAATTTAAATGCAATCGATTTTTTTTCTTTCTTTTCTTAATTAAATGTAGGTATACGTTTCTCTCTTACCCATAAAATGGCAATGCCCAACAAAACTCTAAATATTTTCGCATTAATTTTCTAGTTGTCGCTGTGGTTGGCACTCGTTTGTATTGTTCGAGTAGTTTTACTTCAGCCGATGTCTTTCGACTAATTGGCATCCATGACCAATTCGTGTTTTTCGCTACGTGCTGTGGCAAGAAGCGAAATTGATTCTCTCGGAAATAGCCAATCGTGTGCGTGTGCATATTGTATGGGCCGAGTTCGATGCGTGCTTGAATGCCGCCAAGCATAATTGAGTGTGCCGCCTCGAGAACATAATGACCGTTTAACACATTGTGCCTAGCTTCCTCGTACAGTAGTTCGATGATTCTTGGATCTCTGCTCAAGCAACGAAAATTGCAGGCAAATTGAAAGTAAAACATAAAATTAAGTCATTATATTGGTCAAAAGGGAAAAATGAGGTCAAACACATTCACTCACTTGATTTTCTCTTCTTCCCGCTTTGAAACGAACACATTTCGTCTCAATTGGACCATTGGTTCATCGTATCGTTTCTGTATAGCGTTTGCGTTGCTGAATTTGTTCAGAAGCTTTGGCCACGAAACACGAACGCCAAATGGTCGATGCTGCGGTTTCAGCTGGATCTCAAGCAATGCACTCGTCATCCACAAAGCGAATATATTTTGTGCTAGCAATTTATTTGATATACCAAGCTCTTCACAGCCTAACGCTGCCGCTAAATACACTTGAGCCGGACATTGTGCAGTGCCTTCGATTTCCATGTGTACCGCCACTCGTGACATCAAATAAACACACGTCGGAATCACCTGCAATCAATCGATTCGATTAGATCGAAGAAAATTACATCCGAAACAGACAAGAAAACGATAACATTTGACAATGATACGTACGCTTTGCATTGGCCTATTTATCGAAACTGTATTGTTTGGTACTGCGTTTGATGGTGCGCCATAATAGTTGGTGTTCTGTTGCGTTTCAGTCATTTGTGACATCATTTGATGTGAGTGCGCTTGATACGTGGCCGCTGTGCTGCTGCACTCCAGCATTTCGGTGCTTTGAATTTGTGATGTGGTTATGACTCGTTGTACTGTATACAATACCGATGGTACATTCGATTGTGCCTGAGGTGGTGGCATCGGTGATGTTTGTTGATTCGGCTGAAGCATTTGCGTTTGCTGCTGTACGGCTATCGATAGTGGCGTTGACATGCCCGAACTATTGTGACTGGCAATCATTCCGGCACTTCCAACGGGCTCTGACAATGAAATTGGCGTCGATGCCAACGTATAGTAATCATCCCGACCATTTCCACTAAAATATATCTTTGAAGACGATCTACAACAAGATTGACACAATCGATTAGAGTTTTGCTTGAATTAAGATGTTTTGTTTCGAATTCTTTCATAAAAATCAATACTCCACTTACTGATAGTCTGATTGAATTTGCTGGGGGTATTTGCGTCGCTGATGTTGATGATGATATTGAACCCCCATTTGCATTGGCACAATATTTATGTAGCTATTTCCTGAGTTCAACTGTGCTTTCGACTTAGTCAGTGTCAATTCGTCGTTTGTATTGCTATTGTTGGTGGCATTGGTCGTGCCAATCGTTGCCCCATCCATACATTGTGTACCAACGGAGGCTGTTTGAACCGCATTAGCACTGCTAACATGATAGCATTTTGGCTCAAGCGAATCCATTTCATAACTAATTCTATGTGATTTTTTGGTTTTACGTCGATACCATTAATGGTTTTAATGGAATTTTCGTCGAAATTTCATGCTAACGACTCGTCGCAGATCCATACGCTTATCACATTAAATGTCGACATATTTATTTTTAAAAAAAATATTGTTGTTATTTTATGCCAAAATAGAACAGAAACCGAGTTAAACACTTCAAAATGCTAAAGACACTCTATCTGTGGATGCAAACGCACACACCACACGATTACACTTTGAATTCGTTCACAGTTTAGGAAATTAAGAAAATTTGTTGCTAGCACGATTGCATTTTCGTTGAAGTTCGGAATATCGTCGCGTTTAATTTATAACATTACCCCTTTCGAGTGGATGTGATTTATTATTATTGACTAAATTGTGTATATTTTGTAGGCAATTTCACTTCATCTGTGTGCGAGAGAGAGGGAGGAAGGGAGATAGAAAGAAAACAATAGAATGTTAATAAATGGCAAAGTTCACTGTTGTATGGTTAATAGTTCATCAAATATTCCAATATTGACATAGATGATTTTCCAACGAATTTTGCCCAATTATTTTTACTTAAACGTGATTGGGCGTATAGAAACAATAGAGAAAAAATCATCAAAAGCGAGGAGAACAAAAGAAAATCAACGCAACAACAACAACCATCTGTAATGACGGAAGGGATTCCACGAATTGACTTTTCTGAGACGAAAATAAAACACCACCATATCGAACCATCAAAATGATGGAACTTTGTTTTCATCTCAAAAGTTTCGAGTAAAAGAATCATACGAAAAAAAAATTAGTCACACTTTCGACGTAGGCGATGAGCAATACATGTTTTTTTTTATCTGAAATCTTCTCTCTGCGCTTATGCACTTACATTCGATACATTGATTTACTACCCACTTTCAAAATTGAATAACATAAAGACATTCACGGAATTCTTTTTTTCCCCTAGTCGATCGCACAACACTCTTTTTTCGTCGTGTTTATTTGTTTCGAAATCGAATACAAGTATCAAAAAATGGGCTAACAATTAATTTGTTCAATGCGCGATACGGTGATTTGCACAAAAATATTGGGCTGAAAATGATGAATATAGAAACGAAAGAAAATTCGGAGCTCTCTTTTTTTCACTCTCTGAATAATCTTTCTATATATGGTTTGAGTTGTCAAAACAGGCAGCAGCCATCATGAACTGCTGTTGAACAGCCTACATACAAGTGAAAATTTGCCATGTACATCATCCGCTTTTTCCCCGCCACGACTTTTCTGCTTTTCCTTCGTTTTCAATGGAAATTCAATTTTGACGCAACCCGAATGAGGGAGTGAAAGAGAACAAAGCTTTTCGAAGGATAACACCACTACCCAATTTCGGTTGGCAACACTGAGAAAATGAACGATATTTTTTGGAATTTTCAGTTGAAATGAAATTGTTTTTGATTAGAATTAATTTTTACCAAAAGAGGAAATGTTATTTTAAATTTCGTTCAATTTTTTGTTTCATTGAATTCTAATTAGATTTCTAGCTACCAGAGATTGTATGTTTTTTTTTGGTTCTGAGTGGAATCGTGCGTTGAGTTTAACGCGTTTAAATGTGTTTCATTAACAAATCGATGAAAATTCATGTAATTTTCATTGAATGGATATTGTTACATATATGATGTATGGATAGTGGTCCCATTGACACACTGTTGTCTCAATCTAAAATCTATTCTTTTCAACAAATAAAACTAGAGTATTTTCTTGTCGCTCATTTAAAATCCGAATCATTTGCACTGTTTGCATTGATAAGAGCGGTTGGTTGCGCCATCTCTTGTTCGCAACCGCATGACTGATAAAAAAAAGGCATAAGCTTCGCCCGTGTGAGATATATCATAGCAATTAAAATAACTCGAAAATGGCATAAATACGGTTGCTGCTTCAATAAAATGCATGCATATGATTAGCTGGACGCGATCCAAATTGACAGACAAATTGTGAATTTAATTTTAAACTGCATCCGTATTCTAACCCGAATTTGAATGTTGTATGGTTATCCACTGTGTATGTGGTGTGTGTAAATGAACTTATACACGCATACAAGCGAATCGCTTGTCGTTGTGTGTTGTGTTGCTTAAAATACGTCTAGTCTGTCATTGCGTCTCGCAGAGCTCAGACGCAGAAATTATTTTGCATAGCCGAATGCACGAAAGAGGAAGAGGGAAAAAAGACGACAACGGTAATCACACTCAAATCGGTTGTTCCGTGGTATTTTGCGTGCTCATTGCCCGAGTGTGTGCGTGTATGTATGTAGTGGTGCGCATCATATGAGTAAATGTGTGCATGTGTGTATCGGACGAATAAGAGAGCAAAAAAAGGCGAACAAATTCGCTGTGTGTATCTGTGGTATGTGTATCGAAATGATTGATTGCAATTGAAAGAGAGCTGCAGACTGCAAAGTGATAAGAAACGCGAGCGGAGAAAAAAAAAACAGAGAGAAAAAAACGAGTAGCGAAAGAAGGTTTCATTGGGCGCTTGTAAAAATGTCGAATTCCAATGAATTTCATGCAAAAAGCGGCTAAACCAAATCGGAACACATCGAGACAGAGACTACGCGCTGTTCGACCGAAATAAAAGGTAAATTATTCCGAACAATTGTCAGAGCAAACAGCGACAATTTTCATATGTGCATATTTTAATGAGCTCTTTGGCTGGGTACACGCCATCTTTTTGTTACCTTTTTTTTCGTCTTTAATTGATGGTTTACATCGAACATAATTGCAGTATCGCGGCGCGCGCGTTTTTTTCCTCATATTTCGTGTTGAATTGTGTGATGATGTGAATTTTTATGATAAACTTGAGCATTTTGTTTTTTCTGTGTGATTTGGAAGTTCAATTTGTCCTTGTGTGCAGCACACGCCAGCGCTCGAACATGGCATGGTGAATTAAGAATTCAAGTGATATTTTAATTATTCATATCAAGTGAATCATATATGTAATAATAAATTGTCGGCACAGAGAAAATGTAATATTCACTTCTGTGGGTATCTTCAGTCTAAACAATGTTTCAGTTGTGTAAATAGCCCGAAACGATTCGTTGACGGCAAATATGTTCGCCACATTCCGCTTCACATTTTGATTATTTAAAATTTACTGCTTGCATTTTTGATGTCAAACATTTCCGTCGGCACTCAAACTATAGTGTTTTATTGTGGTTATTTTTGGTTCTGTCGTCCAATTAGAATCCCATATAGCGTTCAAATTAGAATATACAGCGAAAGGTATCATGGATTTGACGGAAACGATGAAGCAAGTGTTGGCCAAAGTGTCAGGCAATGCAGCACAAGGATTGATGAATTCGCCAGTTAACAATCCAGCCGCAATGGCACTTCTCCAGCAGCATCATGCCCAGCAACAGCAACAACAACAGCAGCAGCAACAGCAACAACAGCAAAAGGCACATACTGGTGATATGCAATCGAACAACGGTGTTGGTTATGTCAACGAAAAGCTATACATGCTGCTTCAATTGTATTTGCAAAACAAAGGCTGGAATCCAAGTATTGAACTGTTGCAATGCTTTTCCGAGCTAAAAGACAGCGCGATGTTGCCAAGTGCAGCTTATTTACAGTGAGTGTTGGCTGTTCGTGATCGAAACCAACGAAAAATAAACAATTCATTTTGGAAACAGAATTATTCTAATTTCGGCATGCATTTTTTGTTTCAGGGTTTTGGCCAATCGATTATCGTTGGATGGCCAAGGGCGGTTAGTGCTTCGTGAATCGGGCAAAATCGTATTACCGTACGAACATTTTGCAAATGCGGTAATGCTAAAACATATGACTGGGCCGCATGGAATGCACCTGAGTCTTGATGCTACAATTCGTTCCGTCATGGAATCCTATACGATTGGCCGTGAGAATTTTGGCATGGAAAAAGAATTTATCGTTGAAGTCGTCCAATCATGCCCGAATCAAGCTTGTCGTTATTACAAAACTCATTTGGGTGGTGCGGTGCCACCGTTTATGGATGCTGCTTTTCAATCAGCCGCTCAATCGAATCCAGAGTTTTTGCAACATTTGCCTCAACCACCAATTCTGCCACAACAATCGGTTCCATCTTCACAGTCGTCGGGAAATACACCCAGCGCAGGCCTTATCGATATGACACAAATGGATGCGAACAATGCTGCGGTGAGTCATAAGTATTGGATCGGCCAAGTTTTTTTCCCTCTCATTTGTTATTCATTCGGAAATTTTCGAAATATTTGATTAAGTTTTGTTTTTGACATCAAATGGAATTTTTACACGTTTACAGCATCTGTCGTCGAAACAGCAACACAACAATGCAAATGCTCAAATTCAGCAGCAACGAGCTGCTCTGTCGGCTGCCGAAAAACACTTAAAAATGGGACCAAATTCATCACAGCAAATTACAGCCGCTATCATTCAGCAACAAAATCGAGCCATTGCACAACAGAATTTGGAGAAATTCAACAGCATGACGCCCGTTGAGAAGCAGCGTCTGTTCAAAAAGTTTGATAAGAAACAATTCGACGCTCCGATGCTTCATTCGGAAAACAATCTTAATCGCTCGCTTGAACGTAGTATTCAACCACCGCAACTACCGTCACGTTCGCCGCAAATCCCAATGAACACAAACGCTCCGCTCGATCTTCAACAACAATCAAAGCCACAAATTTCGCACAAGGTATGACTTAGAAATGTTTTTTAGTGGATATTATTTTTGATTAATGACAACTCTACAAATAGTTAATCATCATTTTAAATATTCACAGCAATCGCAACAACTGAATGGTGCTTGGAATTCATATTCCGCTCAGCAGCAATCGTTGCCAAATTTGTCCAATCGCACAGATATAGGCCAAACAACGATTACACTCTCAAATCTAAACGCACATCAATCATCGCACACACAACCGGCAATGCCTCCGCAAATTCCGGCCGCACACAATCAGTCCCAGGTGCAGTCGATGCAAACACAACAAAACTATCAACAACAGCAACAGCAGCAGCAGCAACAACAACAGTCACAACAGCAGCCTTCGATTGGCCAGGAGAATATCGTACGCGTTTTTGACGAATTAATGAAAAACATTGCACGAATGAAGATGTTTGTTCGACCCTCAATGTGCAAACCGTATGGCAAACAGAGCGAAAGCTTGCAGAAGAGTAAGTGTTGGCTCTTTAGAAGAATCAGTATTTCATTAAGTTTTAAGAAGAAATGTATAATGTTTAACTGAACTTTGGCCTTATTTGCTTAGCTTTAATGGACACCATTCAAATTGTTCAATCGCTGCGGAATTGTATACCAGCGCCAACGATCCCAATCAACACATGGAAAAGTGAAGATCGCAACCGTAAGTAAAAGAGAAACCATTCTTTCTTTGTTGAGTTTTCAATCCAAAAATGTAATAGAATTTTCCAAAGAATCTTTGTTTAAATTTCAAAATGATGTTATCACGCGTTGATTTCAATTCTTCTTCTGATCGTTGCAGTTAACTGACATTCGAGTGTGTCCGATGACTTTTACTTTGAAGGTCAATCGGAGAATTATCGATTGCCGTCGGGCAAAAATTGACACGATTACATTCAACAGATTAACTGTACGTATTTCAATCGGTTCCTGATCTGAACGACTCAATTTCCTTTCTGTGTTCCTTTATTTAATTATGATTTTTCTCTCTCTCTCTAGTTTCTATTCTAAATCGAAAAATATTTATTATTATTTTTTCTATTATTCTCGCTAATCAAATTGTACCCTAAGATTGCATTTAATTGTAATTTTTGTTCCTCTTTTAATTTTCATTGTGAGTAATGCAAAAACAAAGACTTGATGTAAATTATGTTATGCTTTGAACATATTTACGAACTTACATAACAGCAACAAAAATCATTTCTTGTGATTCAAAATCACATTAAATTATTATAAAACGATATCGAAAGAAAAACATCACTGTAATTTAAGTAATAGTGCTTCTCCCATTCATCCATGGTCTTGCGAGTGGAGCGCAAATTTTTAAGGAATCGCTTTTATGTAAAGAAGAAAAAAATCCGACGAACCGAAAGTAGACAATGCTTTCGGTTTGGTTTTCATGTAACGGCACCACAATGCCCCATTATTCCGTTCTTCCCCTCGTTACAGAGACGTATGCATTATGTTATTTTATGACTGTATTTAAATTTTAGAATAAGGCAGCGAGCTAGGAAGTAGTGTTCGAGGCAAGAATGCTTGTCATAGAGAAGCAAATCGGTTCATTAGGAGGCCAGTTTGTTATTCATAGACAGTGTTTTTCTCGAACATTCGGTTTCCTATCATTCGAATTGCAAATATTGCTGATTAACTTGGACTGGACTTTGAATAGTGTCAAGCAAGCCGAGCGAAATTAATAAGAAAAATTTAACCGTTATTCTATGCGAAAATTAAAACATAACACAAAATGAGGCTATCTTATTCTAATGGTTATATTTTTCATATTACTTTGGTCACACACTCATTATCTCATTTTATTTAAACATTGAAAACTTATCGAAATTTTTCTAAACTCCCAGGCTTATTCAGTCAAAGACAATTTTGATACAGAAAGAAAATCATAATAAAAAAAATGGACTTTTATCATAAATTTATAATAATTAAATTATGCTAATAATTTAAGATTTGACAAAAAAAAAATTTATGAATTCGAGTAGAAACAATTGATCGAAAACGCTCTAAATTAATTTTGAATCAAAGAGAAAAAAAATACTAAGCACAAAGATTCTTCTTTTCTAAATCGAAATCATCTGAATGTGAAATTAATGCCAAAAAAAAACATTTTATCTAAAACAATCTATTAATGTCATTTTTTCGGTTTTCAAAAAAAAAACTCGGCGTGACGTCAGAAACAAAAATGCAATCGGCAATATTCTGTGATAGACAATTAGAATGAAATGAAATGAGTGACGATGAAGATAGAGTTGAACGCATATTGCATCACCCGGTTCAGTTTTAACTGTATCATTATTATTATGTGTGAGTTTTCTTTTATATTTTATGGTTATACTTTTTTTTTGGTTAATTTTTGTTTTACATCGAGTTAGGAATCATTTTTTGAATAATTTATTCTACTTTTACGTCGAATCATGTGGACGAAATTAGTCTATTGGCAATATCAAGATTTACAACAAGAAAAAAATTAAACGATTCATAGTGCAAATGTTACATTTTAACGCTTAGCGAAAACGAATAAATAGCCGACGAAAAGCGGATTATTTTTCGCAAAATTTCTGGAGGGTTGGTTTTGTTGGAGTTGCCATCATCGCAGTCTGTAATTTGTGATTTGGTTTATCATGAACGCAGCCAACATATTCATTTTTGAAATTAATTGCTTTAATGGTTGTGTTAGGAAGGAAGTTCAAGAAATTAGAATTAATAATAAGCAGATGGATAATTTTACGGTGGAAAAAGTCAGTTTTTTATTTGCCGATTCAATGCTCAAGTCAAACATCAGAAGACTTTCTTTTTTTCTGTTCTCAGCAAATAAGTTTTATTCAAATCCGTTAGTTTTGCAACCTTCGTTCAAGTTTTCACATAAAATCACATCAGTGCAATGAAAAAATCCACATTTTTTCCTTAAATAATTCCATTTCCATACAGTTTTTGTTTGACACTTCAAACAATTGAAATACATAAATATCTCAATTCAATATCAATATCACATGCAATTGCGCATTCTTTTTCTAAAGAAAAACGTAATTTAAGCTAAAAAGAAAATGCAACAGTAAAGCCAAGATGCTTCACACATCAATAACCGAAATTTACAATTAAGAGAGCATAGAACGTAAAGAAATTTATTCCAAAGTACGGAAATTCATTTTAAATTGAAAATATTTGTTCATTCTGTCTCGTTTTGTTTAGTGACCAATTACTTTTTGAAAAATAAAGTTTTTTTGTAAATTTTTCCTTGATGAAAAAAAAAAAACAAAACACATTTTTTATGCTTCAAAATTACAGCTATTTCTTTGTAAATCCAAATTAAGCATTTAATAATAAAAACAAACGCAATTATTCAAATACATCATGAATTGAGTGGTTTAATTTCTATATAGAATGGATTTGTGATTTGAATCGTGCTGTAACTGTAGGTAAGGAATATCGAGACCGATATATTGTAACTTCAAGGCACTTGTTTAATGTGAAGTCGTTGGTTGTGCCAGTGGCCGTGCAGTACCAAAGTTGAATGACTGGTGGATTTTGGTGCGTGTGAGAAGGCGTCAACCTTCATATGTGCATTTCCAAAGAAAACTCTCCGCTGAATGTGTCGGCCCAATCTTTCAAAATGATTTTGCTGCGGCTGTTTTGGCTCGGGTCTCTTTCAACTGTTCCTGAGCTTGTTTCTGCATTTTCTCCAATTTTTCTAATGTGACCGATTTCAGTGGCATCAGATGTGGCTTACAAAACACGAAATCGTTTTTTTGCTCATAGAATAATTTTCCATGATCCGGCAGAATCAAATCGACCCTTGGCGAATGCGATTCACCTTGAATAGGTTGTTCGGCGTATGACATTGTCTGGAATTGTGTAAAATCGATGAATAAAGAATATTCACATTACGTATAAAATATGGAAATATTGTGCTATGAAAGGGCTTTGGCTTACATTAAATTGGTTTCAAACCAAAAATCTAAAATTGATCCCAAATTATCTTGACGAATCTAAAATTGAAATCTATTAAAAAAAATTCTTTTAAAAAGTTACCAAACACGATCAACCGAATATATATCAACAAAACTGTGTGTGACAATCGATTGTCAGCTGATTAAATGGTTTGCCTGCGGCAACCCCAATCCAATTCGCTGCGAAAACTGACAGCTTGACGAACGTTCGTTTGTTTCGTGAAGTTTCGAACCGTGCGACGGTGTTCACTTGTTTGTCGTATTCACCGAAGACCGCATGTCTTTTGGAGTGTGTTGCATATCATTTAGCGCGTAAACTATGTTATAGAGATTTTGTTTCGCGCATCAGCGAACAGTCAGAGAAAGAGAACACCGCGATAACAAGAAATTCAAAAAAATCTTTCTAACGGATTTAATTTTTCGTGTGCGCCGGACGTGTTTAAAAAAGTGCTCCGCATATTTTGACGACCAGATTAAATTGAATTCCACTTGAGTTTAGAGCTTTTTCTCGTTTTTTTTCTTGTCAAATTTTTTTTTTTCTGTAATTTTGTGAACGTTTTGTCATTGAATCGTTGTTGAAGTAAAAAAAATGGATGAAAATATACCGTCAGCAATACCGTCGCGTGGTAAGTTGAACATTCTAAGTTCTATGGATTGATTTTTTCTCTCTACGATGAATTGCACAATACAGTGCAATATGTTGCTTTTGATTTAGTGTTTAGTTTGGTTAAGCAATCGTGTCGCATCATTTCGTCGTTTGAATAGTATTCCTTTTTCATTCGTGTTTTCAACGATTTTAATTGTTGTTGTTGCACAATGGAGACCATTATTACATTAATAATCTACGTCTTTGTCATTCTGTATGCATTGTCAATCGTTTTATATACATATTTTTTTCTTTCTCCAGTCACCCGATCACGTCGCGCATCGGTGGAAAGTCCGGTGGCTAGTCCAGCTAGGAAGACTCGCTCCCGTACACTCAAAAATATCACCGAAAATGGTAAATTCAGCACTTTTTTTTGCATTTTCTTGCAAAACATGTTTAGTCATTTGAAAAACAAAAGTTCGATTCATGTACAAACAAAGAATGTGTTTGTCGTGCATTTGATTGTTACCGTTATTGACGCTTGCTTCTCTCTCTCTCTCTCTCTCTCCATTTTACACGCACACACAGACACGGAGAGCGTCGGTGATTTGAATGATGCTGCAAGTGTTGCTAGCTCCGGATCGATGAAATCATGCAAAGTGCTATTGCGTCGCGAAAATTTCGACGAAATGAACACAAACACAACCGCCGATGATCGTTTGGTTGCGCACAGTACACGTTCACGTCGTAGCTCACAGTTAACCGAAGAAAATGTGTCGGCGGTATATTCGAGTGCACCACGGCGTTCGTTGCGTGCGGGAAGTGTTATTTCTGATGACACCGAATCGACTCAAATTTCACGGCCACGTTCCGCACGATTGGCTCAATCGCAGAATACACCGAAAAAAGATAGTGCCCCTCGACCATCGGCATCGGCGCGTCGCAGTTCTCGTTTGCTTTCGGAAAATGAAAAGGCTGCAGAATCGCCAGCCAAAATCACGCCGGCTCGTCGCAACACGCGCAGTAGCGTTGCTTCGGAGGATCAGTTGTCGCCAACGCGGCGCACATCCAGCCGGTTGACCGAATCGCAGGGTACACCGAAATCGTTGAAGACAAAAGCGAGCAAAATCAAAGTGGAACCAACAACACCACGTCGGGCATCGATGCGAGTGAACAAGAGCATCATTGCCACCGATATTATCGATGAAGAGCCAACAGATGAAGAAATCGATGAAACTGTCATCGAAAAGCCAAGCAATTCGAAGCAGCCCGTGAAATTGAGGGAAAATTTGATCATTGAAGTAGACGATGAGGATGAAAGCAACGGTGAAAAGAAGGAAATTGAAAGCAACGCTACGAAAGATGGTCATAAACGTAAAGTGCAAGCCGACGATGAACCAATTGTCATTAATGAGCCAGAGCTCGTGGATGTCAATACGATTCCGGCCGAAGAACGAAAATCAGCTACTAAGGAAAAGGTAACTTTGTCATCGGATTTAGTCAAATCGCCTCGTGTTGATGCATCAATCAAATCACCGATTTTGAAAACGGCATCCATGCCAATGTCACCAGTCGTTTTGATCGCAACCACCACGTCCCATTCGCCAAAACTTAACACGTCATTGCCAGAGGCCCAAACACCGACCTTTGAACCAGTCGAACCAATGGAAATGTCCATGACTGAAGCGATTGAGCCAACAGGCACTCCGAAAGGTAAGCCACAGAAAATCGTCGAAAGTTCAGAAACTCCGCAAATCAATTCACCAAAAATCAAAGCAGTGGCAAGTGATTTGGATTCAATGGATGTGACTGCTATGGTGAATGAGAGCATTTTGTCACCCGCTCCAATCAGTTCAAAGGAAAGCCGCAGAAAGAGCAATGTGTCCGTGGCTGATACAACACAAACGGGAAGTGATACGATTGAAAGCGACAAATTGGATGATAGCCAAAGCAACCAAGCATCAAGTGCGAATGTTCCAAGCATTGAACCAGAGGCCAAGGATGGTGTGGAAGAAATGGAAGTTGACACTGAACCAGCTCCGGAAGCTGATAAAGGTGAGGCATATGAAGAAATGATTATTTCGAACAAACCTCTCGAAAATATCAAACGTGCAGAGTCGAGCACACCAAAATCTAAGGCAAGTACATCAAATGCCAATGAATCGTTCGATGTGTCACCTTTAGTTCAAGAGGATGAAAAATTAACACCAACGCCACAGTCGACAAAGAAATCATCAAAACGACAGTCGCTGAACGATACCGTTCAATCAACCGGTTTCGATCAAATGGAAGTGACTATTTTGGCTGAAGAATCAACTAAAAAAACGAAAAAGATCAAATCGGGTACGCCAAAGGATTCGCCCAAGCCAACGGCTAAAGATACACCTGAGAAGGCAAACACGCCTAAATCAAGTGCAAAAACACCACAGAAAGAAAAGAGCATTGATCAAGAAGATGAAGAAATGTTCGATGATACAAGCGAAATGTCAAAGACCAAAACACCGGTAATGTTCCGCCCACCGCGAGAATCCACATTTGGTGGAATGTCGGTGAGCTTGAGCGAAGCGATAAACAATCTCGTGGCTGGTTTGGAAACCCCCGTAGCAAACGAACAAAATGATCGTCCCACAGCCGTAACAGAAACATCAGTTGCTGCCAAAGAAATTGATCGTCAAATTGATGAAATTGCTGAAACAATCACACCAGTCAGTGCCCAGATAACTGATCTTCGTTTTGAAGAGATTGTTTCGGAATTGACTCCGACCACATCAAAGGCTGATGAACCACAAGCCTTTGATGAAGTTCAGGAAGTAACAACCGAAAAGAATGACACAGCAATTGGCAAAGACAAGGAGGAGAGCATTATTGTCGAACCAGATGTGTCAGTGGTGGATGAAACGCAAGCAGAACTGGATTTATCAACACCCATGGATGAGGCTCCACCACAAAAAAGTACTGCCCCCAGTTCGAAGAATGAGCGAAAATCAGTTCAAATCATGACGCCCGTTGGTGATAAAAATCAGAAAATGCTCATGAAACGAATTGATACGCCGTATCCCGGTGAAAAGTCCATCACGGAAGCAACCGCCGCCAATCGTTCGAAGAGCGACGAACGCAACAAGAAACGCGAAGGTAAGTTTTCTTTTATTATTTAGTTTGGGAAGAGGACTTTCTTGTGATGTTGGTAGTTTTTTCAATGGATGACATTTCTGCTTTGGTTCAATCGATTATAGCACGTGCCGAAGCTAGAGAAAATCTTCAAATATTACGAGATTCATGGAGTAAATCGATCAAGCGAAACTCACTGTCAAACGAGCCGTCAAAACCGATCGATGCCTTGGGTACTGCCGATACCAGCAGTAAAATCGATGAGCAACCCGCAAAGAAGGCAGTGCCTGCACGCAACAATTGGAAAGGTCTGGTTGATAGCGAATCGGAGCCAGAGGAGGATGAACTGATTCCCGAAAGTGATGAAGGTAGCGATAATGAAGGCGAAGAGGAAGAAGAAAGTGGAAATGAATTCGTCGATGATGTTGTCGAGGTGATTGAAGATTATGAATCGGGTGATTCCATGGACGAGGAAGAAAGACGTGAAAGAGAAGGTTGGTGCTCGATTGGTTTTCTCTTGATTATGTGATCATTTGCTAAATCAATATGTGACGAAAATATAAATTGAAACAGAGAATAATTTTATTTTTCACTAAAAACACCATAATATCTGTACTATGTTTGTTTCTTTGCAGAAAACGAGATTGATGAAGGCCAATACATCGGCAGTGACGACACGGAAGACGAGGATGAGGACGATGATTATGAAGACGATGGATTCATTGTGGATGAAGGAGAGGAAACCGATGCATCGCTGTCAGAAGAGGAAGAGGAAATTGTGGTGGTTCCGAAGCCAAAACGCAGAGCATCGCGCATCATTGAGCCGAGCAGCTCTGAGGAAAGCGATGGTGAAAGTACTGCAGATAGCAATGATATTGTGGCCGTTTCAGTGGAACTTGTTCCCGAATCGGTTGTTGTGGTTCACCGCAATACACCAGATGCTGAAGAACTGGTCGAAGGTAAAACATTCCCCACCACATACTTGATGCCTATGGAGGAGGATGAGGTAAAATCGACCAAGACTACCAAGCCTGTTCAGTCGAGCGCCAAAGAGGCCAAAGCAAACCGCACTTTGGACGAAGAAAGACAAACAGAGGAAACTCGTCGAGAAAACAAAGTCTCAGCTCAAGCTGTTGAACCAGCCACTTCGTCAAATGCGAATGAATCGGTTCGTGAAAAGCGAGACGATATCATGTTTGTTTCAGACGAAACAGCTTCAGATAAGGCAATAGAGCAGAAGGAAACTCATATCGAGAAAATCGAAACAACATTGCAGCCAACTGCCTTGTCAGATGGCAAAGAGAACCAAACGGCTGCAAGAAAACCAAAGAAGATTGTGGTCAAGCACCGAGCCTCACTTCCGGGCATTGATCGCTTGCCAAAATCGTCGATCGTCAAGAAAAATAGTCGTGCGTCATTGGGTGATTTGAATCCAATTGCCCAAAACGTGAGCATTACACAGCTCAAAACGCAGCCTAGCAAAGCAAAGGCTAGTGAAAAATCACAGAGCCAGACGAAAAATCGTGTTAGCATGTCGAATAACGGGATCGCCGTCGAACAGGATGAAACTCCAACCGCAAACGTGAGCTTGAGAGCGAAAGACTCAAAGAATGCTGCGTTGGATATTTCAGCCGAGGAAAACAACAACAATGAAAAGGCTTCAAAGAAAGGTATCACAATCGAATTGTTGGTATTTCTGATCTATTGGCTATCTGGATCGTAATGTTTGTCATTTAACAATTTAGGTGAAGCTGTCCTACAAACACAAAGTGATGAAAACATTCCAACAACAGAAGCAGAATCAGCAGTAGACAGTGACACTGTAACATCAACCTCAGAGAATGTGAGTCTCCTTTATGCAATATTGTTCTTTTCTTTCCGGAAAATGCAACAAATTCTTTCTATTTTCTTCAGGTGGCAGAAGCAAGCGAAAAGAAGTCGAAATTCAAGCGCAAATTCATCGAAATCGATATTGATGAAGAGGTGCAAGTACGGCCGAAGTCGAAGAAACTGTTGCGAATCATCAATACGGCCAGTGGTCAGTTCATTGAGGAGCCAATGACACCAGAGAAGAAGAACAAATTTGGTTTCCGAGGTAATAATTCAACTCACCCGATCCGTTTTCTTTCGAACAGCGTTTTGAAGTACAATTCGTTTCATTTATCACAGAGGCACCACGTACCCCAGTTAATCACGACTTCAAAGTTCAAAAGCGTGTCCAGTTTGCGCAGCCGGGTCGATCAAACAAGCGAAAGAGCATGTATCTGAATGAAGATGAAGAAGTCGATTTGCTATTACCACGGCCAAAATGGAAGATCAACATGCAATTCGATGCAGAGCAACCGAAGAAACGACCCCGCAAATTGGATTTGGGTTCAACCGAAGTCATTCTCAAACCGTTGGAGCCCAAGAAAAAGAAAAAGCAAACCTATCTGGTTCCGGTCGAATTGGGTCGATATCGTCACAACATTTTGAATCGTGCCGGTATTCCTCGCCAAGATACCCGTGCTCTGTTGCGTGAACGACAAAAACGAATGGCCTACAAATAAGCCAGTTTATCGTTCATTTTTACTTTTGAATTCCTTATAAAGTGGATTTTGTTCTATTTTTAAGTCAGTTAAACATTATATTGAATCTTCTTATGAAGTTGAACGAAACACAAAAAAAACAATCGCCAAGCAACAGCTATGCGCCATGAATCCTATCGTGATTTTCACATGCTGATTTGAAGGTTGTTAAGATAAACGAAATATTAAATTTAACACACCAAGACATACATACATACACTCATACATACATTGAAACTATTTCGTTTTTTTTCTTCTGATTTCACCTATATGCTTTTTCTGGATGAAAACTTTCGGACAACTTTTTTGAATCGAAATTAGCCTGTTTGGTGAGTTCTTCATGTAGGAGCGAGAATAAAGAGTGGAGAAAAAGAGAACAGAAAGATCAAGAAATGATTGTCAGAAAGTTAAACAAAGATCTCGATTGAAGTTTTTAATCGAACGATAGTTGTTTTGAAAAATAAAAGGAACGAAACAAAAATAAAAATAGAAATCATTGTTCCACGCGTTTGTTAGATGGAGGGGTTGATGTTATGATCGATGACAATAACAGGATACACAAAGTTAATCAATTGAACAAAAACAGAACAAATCAAATTGATTAAAAACGATCGCTGTTCGATTTTTATTTACATTCCGTTCGATAACACGCTGATTTTCAGGTGAGTTCGATAACAAAATAAACTGTTTGACTTTACGTTTGTCATCACAATTTTTCCATAAATTTATGTTCATATGCGTCTATCTGTGGCTGAAAACATGTGGCCAAAGACCAACCAGCATTTCGAAAAAGCAGTAAAAAAGAAGGCACGTCCAAACAAGTGGTTAACATACAGTGCAACTTGGATCATTCGAATCGTTTTATTAAAATATCCAACGATTGTGACAACAGAACGATATTATTGATAATACACAGTTGTTTTTATTATTGAAGTCGTTTTGTTTTTGTTTTTCAACTATAAACCGTATTTCGTATTACCATCGATAATTCAATGAGATATTGCTAAAATCCTATTTTCTTTGATTGAAACGAGTAAATTTTTTGAATCTCGACGAAATTTATGTTCTTGGAATTGTTTTGAGATGTATTTTTTCTCAACAAATCATCAGTTCCCAAAATTGGTGTGGTGTTGCATTGCACTCAAAGACTCTATTTGATTTCCTTACAAATTGCTATCTTAACCGTTTAAAATAGGTTTTGGTCATTCTATTATTTTTGCTGACCTAACATAGACCTTTTCTCATTTATGTTGTATTTTAAAGAAAAATTCTGTTCAAAACAATTTACGCTAAAATCGGATTACCGAAATTGCACTGTACCGAGAAATGAATATTCGCAATGATCAACCTTAGTCGTCAATGGCCACGACTGAATCAACATGTCGATAATCTGGTTATTTGGCTTGAAAATCGTTGTTAAGAGAGAGATGGAAAAATTTAAAAGAGAAAAAAAAACAAAATTCATAAATTGGTATGATAATCGATGTAGCAAGCTGCTGGGGGTTCCATTTAAAATATGTGTTCGTGACGTCACATAGCATGGAGATGTGCCTGTTGATGTCGAAACAACTTGAATATATATATATATATATATATATATATACTATATATATATATATACATATATTCAATACCATGCGTTTTCCTTTTTGTCTTTTTCCAACCAACGGTTGGCCAATGAGATGACAAAAATTAGCACGAAATTTATATCGTTGTTCATCGGTTGATCGTGTGTGTGTGTGTGTATCATCTCAGAAGCTCGTGCTTTGTCGCTTATTTTCTCTCTCATGATTTTTTCGGATTTCATTTTAATCTACGCATCTCTTTGGTCATTCGATATTGCGCCGACCCCAGAACGGCTATAAAAGCGCTTGCGCGCTTCCATCATCTAACTAGTTTGATTTTAGACATGACTGGCGATAGTCGTTTTGTGCTCCCCACTGATCCGTTAATTAAAACGTTATTGTGTATTCATTTAATTTTCCGCTGAAACAAAGTGAATGTTTGATAAGGAAAAAAATCATTTCCAACACTTTGAATTTGTTTCCATATATGACCTGCATTCGAGAGAAAGAAAGAAAAAAATAGCGCAAAGATCGTTGAATAAATTTGATCATATTTCACTAACGAATCAATTTATTCAACACATTCCCTACAGCTAAAAGCTTAAGTTGTTTATTTCGAATTACAAACATCAAGGTGTTTTGAAAATTTGTCATTTATTCTTTGGTTGAAACAAGTAAAACGAAACCAATTTGCCGTTGTGTGACAATGTTAAAAGGACAAGCCATTGAAATAAGCAAGGAAAATTTCAATAATATCCATTTGGCGGTTAAAAAACAACCCGTGGACTCATCATCCAAGGAAAATTCTCTGAAAAAATACGAATGGAACGTGCAACCATCGAAATTTGCCATTAATACGACAAATCCCATTCGAGCCATCGTTGAACATTTGAACGTACAACCAAATCCAGATAAAGCTTTCATTCCTCTTTCTGTTGGTGAGTCGAAATTTGTTTTATTTTCTTGGTTTTTATTTTTTTAAATAAATCAATCCAAAGTTCAACTATCGGATTTTGTTGAATGTTCCATCTTTCATCATTTTGTTCACAAATCCAGTGAACTTTTTCCATCAATATGAGAGAAAGCAATGTTCTTTTTATAACATGCCATTATTCGTACAATTAAGTTCGTTACCCTCCATAATGTTCTGTTCGCGAACTTCAACCCAAATTCGTCACAATACGTTACACTCACAATTTCGGTGGAATGAACTACAGCTATGAACGTGACTGTGACGACGTCTTCCGCAAATGATTCTAACTGTTTTATCTGAATCGTCATAGAACTTGACCACACTTATGGTCGTTTCATTGATAATTTTTTTTTTTAATATGCAAAATTATATATAGTTCAAGGACGCGAGAAACGAAAAAAAATGCGAGTACTTAAACTGGTTAGTTAATCTACGTACAAGGAAAACAAGTATAGATTTCTGATAGAAACGAAATTTTCTCGAATATAAATCAAAATCAGAACCAATTTTTTTTTTCAAATATATACCCGAATAACGATAATCGTTTGCGGTAATCCAATTAAGCTTTAGAGCAACTTACCAATAAAAAACGCAGTGTTAAAAAATGTGCGCTGATAACGATTTTCAATTTCATGACTCATTCAGAATAGATCCTAACCATTGAGCTTCCACGTAATAGTATCATCAAAAAAGAGTTATTGACAAACGTGAAATGCGTCGCAATAGATTATGAACAGGTGCAATAGAAGTTGATGCAGTAGTGTTATGTGTAAAAGGGTTGTTGGAGAGATGAAACTACGCAAAAACGGTACACACAACAACGATATCAATCGTTGGTGACATTTCCATGGCATTCCAAATACCGATACGTATCCAATTCGATTTTTTCAGAAATCAAAACAAGTCTATAATTTATTTTTATCGATATTAAAAGTTGTTACTGATTAATATTCATATTCATATTCGTGTACGCCATGATTTGACGCGATCTTTCTCCTCATTGGATGCGTCTTCTCAATCAATAAGCAAATTTTATTTTTTGTTTTCATTACGACGCATGTGGCGCATGTTTCTAAGATGGGAACAATAAATTAAATTCGATAATGTGTGTGGAATAATTTATTTTCATCGTCATCGTCGAAATAATTTACTAATTCAAGTTTCAAAGCGTTAACTAATTGGTTGTTGTTTTTTTTCCCCTCTCATTCAGGTGATCCAACTGTGTTTGGTAATTTGAAAGCGGCTGATGAGACGATTCAAGCAGTGCGAAATGCGATCGATGAGGGCAAACACAATGGTTACGCTCATTCGGCTGGAACCATAGTGGCTCGTGAAGCGGTTTGTAAATATATAGCGCCTTATCAAGGCGTTGTAGCACCGAACGATGTGATTTTATGTAGCGGTTGCTCGTCATCTATTGACATATGCATTGGCGCAATAGCTGAACCGGGTAAAAATATTTTGATTCCAAGGCCGGGATTCTCGATCTATCGAACTCTTGCTGTTGGTCACGGCATTGAGGTTCGTTCGTATAATCTTCTCCCATTTAATCAATGGGAAGTTGATTTGGAACAACTTGAAGATAAAATCGATGAAAACACTGCAGTTATCGTACTTACGAATCCAAGCAATCCTTGTGGAAGTGTTTTCCGCAAAAAGCATATGCTCGATATTATTGCATTGTGCGAAAAATATTGCATTCCGATAATTGCCGATGAGATTTATGAACACTTTGTGTTCCCCGGCACCGAATATCATTCATTTAGCTCGCTATCGAAAAATGTCCCAGTATTATCGTGCGGAGGCTTAACAAAGCGGTTCTTGGTACCCGGATGGCGATTGGGATGGATAATTATCCATGATAGAAACGACACTTTCAAAGAATTGCGCCAAGTATTGAACTTATTATTTAATTTTGCAAAGTTGTTTTGTAATTTCACAGCAAGTGTCCGCTTTCTATTCCGATATATTTGTTTTTCATTTTTGTTCACATCATTTGCATGGCATAGGGTTTAGCGAACTTAAGTACAAGGATATTGGGAAGCAACACACTCATTCAAGGTGCTCTACCGGAAATTTTGGAAAAAACGCCACAAACCTTCTTTGATAGTGTCGTTGACACTCTCTATGTAAGTAGTCGACAGTAATATAAATAAAGTTTCAACAATTTTAGCCTAACGCTTCCGCTTTTTTTCTCTCTCACGCTTATCTCTTTATTTTAAAATAAGAAACATGCGAAACTCGCCTATGAAATTCTGAGCGATGCTGTTGGCCTGAGGCCAATTATGCCAGATGGAGCGATGTACATGATGATTGGAATCGATATCGAAAACTTCCCGGAATACGAAGACGAACTTCAGTTCGTGCAGGCGCTGGTTAAGGAGCAAAGCGTTTTCTGTTTGCCGGGTCAATGCTTCGATTATCCAAACTATATGCGTATCGTTTTGACTGTGCCGGAAGGCTTGATTTGGGAGTCATGCACACGCATCGCTGATTTTTGCAACAAACACTATAAGAATTCATTCGATCCAAATTTGATTGAAAACTTGAATTGGTAGAAGACAAAACAAGGCAAAAGCAACAGCAACACTGTAATTTATACGTAGATCATAAATTAATATTGGTTTTTATTAAATCACGGTGAAAAGATATCGCGTTATTGATACAATTAACGAGTTGTGAACATTTTTGAATTTTCTTTCTTAAATAAATGACAATAACATACAAATGAAAAAAAAAGTGATGATTTTTTATTCAACTGGGAAATTTAGGCACGTAGTAAGGCTAGCAGTAAAGCAATGACTAAAATGGTAACGGATATGATATAACAGCGAGCATATACATGTGAGTCATTCCATGCAACGCTAACAATTGAGTGAACGGACTTGACTGTGGTCATGACTGATGTTTGTGTGTTATGATGACTTTGCGTTGAATTTTGGCTATCGTTATCGAAGCTTTTCTTCTCCGCTTTGTATGTGGTAATCTTCGGGATTTTCTGTTGGATCCAGCAGGTTCGAGCGCAATGGCTGCTTACTCGCGTGGTCGAATTTGCTGAGAAGTTTGAGTTGACCGATTGTGGGCTGAGATTAGAACAAATATCACCTTCACCAAGTGATTTTGGCGATGACTTTTCATCGCTGGCTACTAATGAATCCAATGCGGATGGGGTCAATAGGCTGGCTGACACTTTCTTCTCGTCCTCGAACGGGCACTTTGACTCCCTAACGTTGCACAATTTTTCAAAGTCAATCTCATCCTCTGTAGGCTGAACGATAATTTCGACTGGACCTTGGCATTGGTTCATTTCCGCCTGAAAATTCAGGATATCCGATTCGTAGGTGGTTTCACCCATGTCCAAATCGTATGTTGCTCCCGTGCTATTCAACCCGCCGCCAATTGAGTATGTTTCATCGACAGCACGATCAACTTTTGACATGCGCCGAAATTTATTGTACGCCGCTAACCGTTTTTCCTTTTGTGTTTTTGTTTGTTGTGCTCGCTTTTTAAGCATTGAACTACGTTTTTTGATGAATGACTTTCGCGATGATACCAATTTCGTTGAATCACAATGAACTTTCTCGTATTCGGGCGTTGAGTCAACATTTGCCGCTCGTTTATCGACTGAACATAGAATTTTTTGCGAGACTCGTCGTGTTTGCGCGAATAAATTTCGTGATAACGATGATGACCGTTTGGAATCAGCCGTGAATTTCGAATCGATCTTTGATACTGAAGTGTTGGCCAGTCCAAAAAATGAACTGGTAGTGGTGTCAAACTTTGGCATTGAAGAACGTCTGGCATTGCGACGTCGCGGAGTTGACGTACTGAAAAACAACTTTTCCAATTGATGAAGTGTACTACGACCGCATGTTTGATGATCATTCTCTTTTTCCTATTGAGAGAAAACAAAAAGAAGCATACCATTTTGGTTGAAAAATTGGGACAAATTAAATTGATTGTGGAACACCACCTGCCTCCGCCGCAAAGAAGTTCAAAAGGTGATTCAATCCCAGACCGGTGTATCCGCTTATCCAAATGCAATAATTTTAACACGACATTTGTTTTTCTCATATGATTTTCGTCTTATTCTTTATTTTACTATTAAAGCACATACAAAATCGAATATATATATTTATTGATTTTTATTTTCTACCATACGATCTTAACTTAATCTGTCAAAGATTGTCGGAACACGGGCTTACGATGAGATTCTACATAAAAAAATAATATACAAATTACATCGTTTTTGCTTAACATAACTTGAATCAAATCTAAATTGTACATATCCGCACGAGAATAAGCGGCCGATAAAGTATAGTTAATGTAAATTTAATTGGATAATAAAGAGAAATCGGAAATAAATGATGATCATTTGAAAATTGAAATCAGATTGTGTTAATATTTCTGCTTGTACTGCTAGTGAGCGATGTGCCGTGTGATCAGGACATTGAATTGCAACCTTTTGAACTTATTCATTTTTGTTTTGGAGGGGTGTGACTCTTGATTGAGAGAGCGATTGATTGATTGCGGTTTAATTGGATTTGGTGAAGTAGTTTATCATATAGCGAACACATGTGGTTGCAAAAACTATCCGCTGATCGACCGAAAGTAATTGACTCTCTAGAACATCTGTGGAAAAACCCAAAAGAACAGAAAGAAACGTCGATTGTTCAAATTCAGTGAGAATGTGAAAGCGAGAGAGAGAGAGAGAGAGAGAGAGAGTTTGTTTTTTTCTTTGTCCATTGTCATTAACAGAGAGTACGATCAGCAAATAATTTATATATGAGAGCTATGATGTGTGGGAGGCCAGTCCCAAAAACTCTGAACACACGTTCTTATGATAAAATAAAATGTATGTGTCTTAATCAACCTTAAAAAAAATTGGATTAAGTTTAAAATGGTTTAAACTTAAATTAATAGCTTAATTAAATTAATAGCTTATTTCGTACCTCATCCTTAAGTTTCGACGAAGAAAATATGCGCGATAATTTACCGGGTGTAATTTTCTTTGATGTTTTGTTTGTGTTGCCACCGATCGATGGACGCTCGAAACCACCATTCTGTTCACGGAGTACATCACCTCGGGGTAGATCAGCACCGCCCAATGACAATCGACCACCATTTTTGCTGGGTGTTGGCGGACCCGGACGTTTATAAGCTGGACCACGACGAACCGATTCGCTCTGAGTGCTGAACATACTGTCATCTAATGACTTGAACGTGTTTTCATTTGTCTAAAGGTGAAGAATAGAGAAAAAATTTGATTTCAATGGAAATAAAGGGGTTATTCGTTTCGATGTTGGTAACGTCTCATTGCTTTTGGTTTAACGTTGACAAAAGACATGTTTTACATAAAAAAGAATGGTTTACCTTTGGTTCATTTTCGGTAAATTGTGGCATGTACGATGATCGCAGATGTGGAGGCAACATTGAATTACGACGTTGAATCTCTTCGAATGTCAATGATTCACGACCCGTAAGCGCACCACCCTTCAACTCATCCAAATAGGTGTTATCGAAGAGTTCACCTTCTTCATCTTCCATTCGGAAGTTTCCACCTACAAGAAATTATTCATTAGAAACAGTCCGTCATTGATTTCAAGTTCAACTTCGTTTGATGTTCATGTTCAACAAGTACCCGTGATCTTTCCAAAGAACTTCGAAGCGTTGGTGGTGTTATTGCCGCCATTTAATGTCGTTCCAATTTCATACGTACGCAATTTGGATTTCATAATCTCATGCTCCTTCAACAACATCAACTTTTCTTCGTTCAATGCATGGATTTGGGATGAGAACTCTTTGGTTTTGTCATCGTAGAATATCAATTTGTCGGCGTATTTTCGGTTTTCGGTGACCAATTCAGCCAGTTGTTTCTCGTGTTTGTCTTGAACTTTGGCCATTTCTTCCTTGTACAAAGATTTCTAAAAACGAAGAAAAAAAACCTCGGATTAATGTGTTATTCTTCGGTGAAATTGTACAAAATTCAACTCATTCCCATCGATTCACGCATTGAAAAATTGCCATTGTTTCAATATAATTTGATAAATAAATCACTTTATTTTCGAAATGCTTATCACAAAAGATGAGATATTGCGAGTGTCTTCGTTTTATATGTATACTAGAATACATCTGGTTCATGTTTAACGGCAAAGCGCCGGATTACTGCTATGGTAAACATTGCATAAAATACGAATGTCATTGGCCATTTGATCAAACTGCATATAGGTTTTATCCAAGGTCTGTTGTTTGAAAAGTCTCTATCATTTCGGATGGCGTCATACAGTAATTTCAATTGCGACGATTCAACAAGGCAGTCGTCAATTGAATTTGATAGCTTGAAAGAATACATAAAACACAATAATCGAGAGTGTGAATCGAAAATGTCGCTCTACTCGTCAAATTTCAAAACATATATTATTATTATTCATGTGGTGAATGCGTAGATTTGAATTAGTAATGAAGCGAACAAAAATAACACCGACAGCCATACAGAAAAGTTAAAACGTTGGACGAACATGCAGTTTAGAAACAGAAGCCAACAAAACAATGGAATGATTGCGATGAAATGCAAAACAAAATCAAATGCAACTTACCATTCGCTCCTTCATCTTTTCGAGTTTCTCCTCAAAGCCATTTCTCATGTCCTTGTACTCTCTGTCCTTTTGCTCGTGTGCTTCACGCTCCTTCATCAATTTGGCACGGCAAATTTTCACATCTTGAATCAGATTCTCCCTCTCCTTTTTCCACATTTCCATCTTTTCGTTGTAGTTCTTCTCCATACGGACGAGTTGCTCGTTTAGTGAGATTAGTTGCTCTTTGTTAGTGGCCGACTCGAGCAACACTTTATTTTCACTTTGCAATTTGTTCAATGAATCCTGTAATCCTTCAATGTCTTTGGTGTACTGTTCAATTTTCGTTGTTAGCACTTCATTTTCTCGCACCAAAACATCGAATTTCATGCCTTGATCCACGGCCGTAGCTTCAACCTGTTCCAATTTCCCTTGAATTGAGTCCTTTTCTTTCTGGACCGATGTCAATTTCCAAGTTGCTTCCGTGAGTTTTTCATTGAATTGCTCTTTGCCATTGACTATTTGCTGTGTCAACTCATCGATGGTGCGATTCAACTCAATGACTTTGCTGACCAATGAATTCTTTTCGGTATTTGCTACGACTAAATCCTTCTGAGCGGCTTCTAAGCCCTTTGAAATCTTCTCCAATTTGCTTTGAGCTGATTTCAAGTTTTCATCGAGGGCGGCTTTTTCCGAGGTAAGTTCATCGATTTTGGTTAGTTTCATCTCGTAATCAGTCAGTTTTACTTCATTGTTGTTATTTGATTCAATCAAAGTGGCTATCTTCTCTTCAACTGCCATCTTTTCCTGTTCCAAAGTCTCATTCTTTTTGCGTTGCTCGTCGACTTTAGTTTGTGCCTGTTCCAAGCTCATTTGGATGGATTGTTTTTCGCTCTGCAATCCTTCAATGTCTTTGGTGTACTGTTCAACTTTTGTTGTCAGCACCTCCTTTTCTTGTGCCAAAAACTCAAATTGTTTGAGTTGATCCACGGCTGCGACTTCGGCCTGTTGCAATTTCTCTTCAATTGAGTCTTTCTCCTTCTGAATCAGTGCCAATTTTTCAGTTGCTTCCGCATGTTTTGCACTGAATTGCTCTTTTTCTTCGACCATTTGTTGATTCAATTCATTGATGGTGTGACTCAACTGGTCGACTGTGCCTTCTAATGAATTTTTCTCGGTGTTTGCTGTGGCCAAATCTCTTTGAGCGGCTTCTAAGCTCTTTGAAACCTCCTCCAATCTTCTTTGAGTTGATTTCAAGTTCTCATCAAGGGCGGCTTTCTCCAAGGTAAGCTCATCGATTTTGGTTAGTTTCACCTCATAATCGACCAATTTATCAACGTTGTTGTTATTCATTTCGGTTAAAGTGGCGATCTTACTTTCAAGCTCTGTCTTTTCTTCAGCCAACGTCTCACATTTGTTACGTTGTTCATCGACATCACTTTTTGAGCTAACCAAACTCTGTTGAATTGACCTTTTCTCGTTTTGTAATTTAGCCAATGAATCCTGCAATCCTTCGATGTCTTTGGTGAACTGCTCAACTGTTGTTGTCAGCGCCTCCTTTTCTTCTGCCAAAGTCTCGAATTGCTTGTGTTGATCCACGGCTGCGACTTTGGCCTGTTGCAATTTCTCTTGAATTGCGTTCTTTTCTTTTTGGACCGATGCCAACTTTTCAGTTGCCTCAGTTTGTTTGTCAAGAGATTGCTGTTGTTCTTCGACCAATCGTTGCGTTAATTCGTCGATAGATCGAATCAATTGACTGACATTGCTTTCTAGCGAATTCTTTTCGTTGTTCGCTGTTTCCAAATCATTTTGTGTTGTTTCTAAACTCTTCGTAACCTCTTCCAATTGGCTTCGGGTGAATTTCAAATGCTCATCGAGAGCAGTTTTATCCGACATGATCTTATCAATTTTCGTGACATAATCGGCCATGTTACCTTCATTCCTGGTATTCGATTCGGTCAAAGCGGCAATCTTCTCCTGGTCTTTTACCTTCTCTTGTTCCAAAGACTCATTCCTTTGACGATGTTCATCGATATCACTCTGTGCCTTCAGCAAACTCTCTTGAATTGATTGTTTCTCAATTTGTAGACTGGTCAATGAATCCTGCAATCCATCGATGTCTTTGGCATACTGCTCAACTGTTGTTGTCAGCGCCTCCTTTTCTTTTGCCAAAGCCTCGAATTGTTTGCGTTGATCCACGGCTGCGACTTCGGCCTGTTGCAATTTCTCTTGAATTGAGTCTTTCTCCTTCTGAATCCGTGACAATTTCTGAGTGATTTCCGTTTGGTTCTCACTGAATTTTTCTTTTTCACTGGCTATTTGCTGTGTCAACTCATCAATGGTACTATTCAGCTGAGTGACTTGGACCTCCAATGAATTCTTTTCACTATTCAACGCGGCCAAATCATTTTGTGTTGCCTCCAAGCTCTTCGAAACATTTCCCAATTGACTTTGGTTTAATTTCAAATTCTCGTTGAGGGCCGCTTTTTCCGAAGTGAGCCCCTCAATTTTCGCGACATAATCGGCCAATTTCTGTACATTGTTTTCATTTATTTCGGTCAACGTTACAATGTTCTTTTCAAGATTAGCATTTCCAAGTGCCAAATCGTTGCATTTTTCACGCTGCTCATCGATCTCTTTTCGTGCCTTCACTAGATTCTCTTGAATCGATTGTTTTTCGCTTCGCACCGAAGACAACGCATTGCTAATTTCATCAATGTCAAGTTTATGTTTGGCCAGCAAATCCATAGTTTCATTTAATTCACTTTGAACATGTTCCAATTTCGATTGAATACCATTTTTCTCCTTGATTTGCGCCTCCAATGTGATATTCACAGCGTTCACCTTCTCTTCGAGCTCCATTCGAATGTGACGCAGTTCATCGAAATGCTTCGCAATCAATTCTCGTTTTTCAGACTGAATTTGCTCCATTCGAGAAGTGGCATCAATCAATGAAGCGTTCAATTCAGCTTTTTGCGTTTCGCATGTATTCAATGTTGCCTTGACTGTCTCAAGTTCAACCATTGTATTTTGATTTTGACTGCGAAGATTTTCATTCTTTTTCTCTTCCGATTGCAACTTTTCATTGAGTGCATCGATTGTACTCTGCAAGCCGCCTGATTGCTCATTTAACAAAGCAATATCGGAACATTGGCTCTCAATTTTTTGTTGCAGGTCTTTATTTTTATCAACTAATTCGGAATATTTCTGGTTAACTGTGGTGAATATGGCATTTGGAGATGGCGGCTCAACGCTAGTCTCGCCGGATTCATTCACAATTTGATACAATTTCGTTGCTTCATCTTGCAGGACGGTTAACTGATTTTGAAGTCTAATGATCGATTCATTCAACGCCATATTTTGTCTTTGCTGATCAATCAATCGGATATCAACGACAGCATTTGCTAAATTCTCTTCCATAACACAAAAACCTGATTCATGAAATACAAGAAAAAATTCGAAACAAAATATCGTTAGACAAACCGGTTTTGGAATATATTTGAATTTTCGTTTAATTTAATCAGCTGATGATCACTTACTTGACGTATTCAAATCGTTGGCCGTTGAATTCAGCAGCTCGTACGATGATGATGAATCGAAATCCAACTTTTTCGAATTTGATTGCAGTTCTTTCAACATATCGGTGAGCTCTTTATTGTTGTTGTTCACGTAACTAATCATTTTCTCTCGGTCATCCAGCTGGTTTTTGAACGTTTCTGCCTCGGAAAACGAATCGAGCAGTTTGTTGTTGAGCGATTTGATTTGCGATTCGGCATATTCGAGTTTCTCTTTGAGCAATTCAATGTCATCCTTTGCTCCATTGTATGTAATGGTCAGCTTGAGTAGTTCATCTTCTTTTTCATTGATTTCGCGACGCAATTGCTTAACCGTCACCTCGGTTTGTGCATTCTGTTGGATTTGATCGTTTTCATCAAGCGTTTGAATCTGTTTCTTCAGAAAATTGTTTTCAGTCATCGCCTCTTTGTAGTCTTCATCCAATTTGGACAGCTTCTTTTCGCATTGATTCAACTGCATCTCCAAATAACCACGCTCGAAACGTTCCGTTTCTAATTGAGCCTACGCATACGGTGACAAAACAATTCAATGGGTTGCATTTTATTTTGATTGAAATATGACTTTTTGTTTAAAAAAAAATGGGTTCACCATAAAAAGTATTCTTTCTAGATGACAATGACATGTGGTCAATACGAGAAATCATCGACAAATCCTTCTTCCATTTAACAAGAAAACAAACGTACCTTCAAATTACGATTCTCCAAATTCCATGTGTTCAGCATCTTGCTTTTCGGTGTTTGCGGCGATGTGGACGACAGAACCGATTGCAAACTCCTTGTAATGGGACTCACATGAGCTATAGCCAAATCTAAACTCTCTGTGGTATTAAAACAAGATTATCATGACTTTAATTTCCATTTCATAAATTCATGTGATATTTCATTCATAACAACGACAATAACAAATTTTAATTGATGCATATTGTTTTACCTGCTTCTTCAATGGCACTTTGAACAATGGCTCGCTCACATTTACCAATTTTGAATAGATAGTCGAGATATTTTTCGATCATTTCTTGGTTTTTACGCACCATATTGTTGCAGATCTGCTGTATACCCGTATCCGCATGCAAAACGCATGCAAAATGCAAAAATAACGAATAAAAGTACACATATTCGCCGACTGGCACTTTATGTTTATCGTCCAACTTCAAATAAAAGTCTTTGTAGTAATCTGAGAATGATACGGTAACAAGAGAATGGATTAAACAATAGACACATTCATCGGCGCCATCAAACGATGATAGCTGGATATGAAGAAGAAAGAAAAAATGTACGGTACAAACCTCGAACAAAACTAATGACATTCTCTGATTTGATGTGAGTTGACTTGATTTGTTTTTTAAAAGCAACGAAAAATGTATCAATATGTGTATCGCCTAAATTTTCATAGTTCTGCACCAAAAATCCGGTTGAATTAACCTCAAAAATGGAAATGGGAAAAAAACACACAATACACAATTAGTCTCAAGCCATTTGCACCAACTGGTGATGTTTCACAGTGAGTGTATATGAACAACGGAATATTCACTTACCCAATCCAACAACACCGACTTCCACAGATTATATTCCATTGTTGTTTTTTTTGTTGATTTTTAATACCACTTTCGAATCTAATAATTTTTATGACTTAATTAAATAAACTTAAAATTCTAATGAAAAAAAAAATAACACGGAAATAATACAATGCAAAAAAAGAATACTAAATCATTTGTTTCGTCTTGATGATGGCGTGCGATATATCACTTGCAAAGCGTACAAAACAAATGACGATACAAGACCACCGAAAACCGTTTGACATCAAACAAGAATTTAAAAAGCAAGCTGCTTGTATACTGATGCATGGTGGTACTGCACAAAACAGCGGCGAAATGGCAAAGTACGCAGCCATTACCGTCGAATAGCCGGTCAACACACTGACAGATTGTCTGACTGATGGCAAACGTCAAAACACAAATGCTCGCTGAATACACACATTATTCAATTATTTTCTTCAACTTTGCCAATTTTTTTACAACGTAAATTGCGATGAAGACGAATTAGTTTGTTTGATATTTTAAAACTTCATTTTAGGACACACAATGTTTCGATAGAAACTGTTGGAAAGTATTTTTATTTCGAAGTGCAATTTACGGCTAAATTAAAGGATTCATCCAGAAACCCGCGTTGGTTTTGAACGATAAACGATCCGATTATTTAGTTTTTGTGAATCAAAATGAATATTCTTAGAAGGACTACTATCGGAATTCGATATGGTGTTATCCATTTTAGTAGCAAAGCCGATAAAAACACCTTTTCACCGCACACATACTGTCTTGATTTGGTTAGGTAATCATACCGCAAAATTGATTTTTCTATCGCTATAAAAATCCATTTGGAAATTTATCCATTTCTATCTTGAAATAAATAAAACTATTTTATTTCAATGAAACCACGCAGATAAAGGAGTAAATTAAGAGCTTCATTTCCTTTCCTATTAACCTATTGAAAACAGGAATCATGACTATGAGAACTTCTTGGCTACACTTCTCATCAAAGGTCAGCTGGAGCGGCGTGGAGCCTTCGCTGTACGGGCATTCAATGTTGAGATAGCTAAAGTGGCTGGATCGGTAAGGTTTTACTTCAGACATTTTTTTTACCTTCATTGTATTATTTTCAACATTCGCTTTTGTTTTATCCACTTTGATCAATATCCAGGTCTCTGATGAGAAAATCGGGCAAATTCGGCTAAAATTTTGGCATGACGCGATCAATAAAATATATGACAAAGACAAGAGTAAAAAATTGCCCGAGCATCCGGTTATTCACGAAGTGAATAATGTAAGATTTGCAGAACGGCCACCTTTATATGGAATTACATTTATTTCAATTCTGAACATTTCAGGCAGTGATTAAGTACAAATTACCCAAACTGTACTTCCAACGATTGATTACGGCGAGACAACGTCAGTCAAATATGATGTTTTCAACGCTTGAAGAGCTCGAACAGCACACAGAAATATCGACATCTTCGATATATTACCTGCTCGTAAAGATAGCCGGAGTGGATGATTTGAGTGTGGATCACGCTGCATCACATCTCGGCAAATCCCAGGGAATAGCCAATAGTCTAAGAACATTAGGTGCTGTAACAGTGAGACAAACACGGGGCTTATCAGCACTTCCACCGATACCACAGGAGATTCTACTGAAGCACGGTTGTAGCTACGAAAAAGTACTCCGACAGCAGCCAGATGATATTGCCGTGCAAAACTGTATTTTCGATGTGGCAAGTACGGCCAAAGTTCACTTGGATAAGGCACGAAACTTGAGCAATAAAGTGCCATCAGCAGCGAAAAATGTATTTCTGCCAGCGCTGGCAGTTGATCGATTCTTGACTCGCCTGCAATTAACCAATTTCCAATTGTACAGCGATCGCTTGGCCAAACGTGACGGAATGCTGGCACTAGTTTATTTTTGGAATAATCTTCGAAGAAGATACTAGACTGTAAAATGCAAATGTGTTCAAGTATTGTGAATAAAAGTCAGAATTGTTTTATTTTTAAACTTAAATAAATATCGATTTTTATTGTTAGTTTGTCGATTGTTTAGTCTCCACCATGATCTTGGTTCTTATTTAAATTTTTACTACTAATTCAATCTATTATTTTGTTTTTATTTCCATTTTTGTTGCTTGTCGATTTGAATTGTTTTTGTTGCGACAATCTTGCTTGGGGTCGATTTCTCGCTTTGAAATGCATCTGTCGAACAGTTCTAGTTTTGTTTCTTTGTTTGCTATTGGATAAATTTGTTTTTAATATCAATTTATTATTATTATTTTCTAAAATAGTACTTTGCAATTGTGAAAAAAAACATAACACGCTCAAATGGACTGGATACAAAAAAAATATATCATGATTTGTTGATTTCTCATCATTAATTCATTTCATTCTTAAATTTTCTCTCTTCATTTTTATTGTTTTAAAATATGTTAATTGAATAGGTGCTTTTAATGCTTGTCATATAATATGACATGATCAATTGCGATTCAATTCCATTTTCTGTCTATCGTCACTTTAGCGTTCGCAGCTAAAATTATGGTTTTCCTGTCATTTTTTCTCTCTTCTGTTTCGTTATCGAAATCAACTTTTTTTTGTTTTACATTTTAAATGAAAAAAATAATCTGAAAATAAAGAATCAAACGTTACAAATTTCATAAGACTGAAACCAATGGCTATTCAAATTGACACCATTGAAAGAATAAATGGAAAATTGTAAATTGAAAAAGAAAAAAAAAGTCCATTGAATTTCGATTTAATTATTGAATTAATAAGTTTAGAAAGTTTATTGAAGTTCCGTGTCTTAGTCATTAAGTTTGTTTCTTCATTTTTTTTCTTTCTTTCTTTCCTTTTTTCTTCCTTTTTTCATATATATAAAAAAAATCCGGAAAACATAAAATGTTTTCGTTGACGAAACAAAAAATGAAACATTTAAGGCAATGCAGATAATTATTATATTTCTTTATTATCAAGTCGTTTACTCGTTTTTTTTCTGTTATGTTTTCTTATCCGCTTCAATTTTATTTCATTTCGTTTCTAAATCATACTTTTTGTTGTTGCTGCGATTCACAGGTTTTTCTCACAATTGATTTTCCGCGTTTTTATGTGCATTTCCGTGTGTGTGTGTGTGTGTATATATGTGTTTGTTGCATGGTCGCAAAATGGGATGATCTCAATGGTAATATATAATTTCATTGAATATACTGCGAGTTTATTTTTCTGATTAATTCCTTGGATACTTGGTTTTCCACACTTTTCATTTTCCCTCTCACACTGTGTCCTCCCATCGAATTGGACAATCATGGAGGATGTTCGTACATAAAAATGTGTAGGATTTTGTGTTGATTTTTGTTTTACATAATAAATTAATAGCTATATAAAATGTATAGAGCGATGATGACAATAATTAAAATTAGATTTTTGTACTAGCAAAGAGAGCAAACAGAAAGAAAAACCCACGCACACCGTACCATTCCGCAACAGCACCGACTACCGTCGAAGGTGTTTCCTTTCTATTTGCACTTTTGAAAAATATTGGAAGAAATATTCTGCTTGCATTTCAATTGAACCATTGCTGTTGTTGTTATCGTTTATTTATCTTGGTGATGGTATGTGTATACCGCTCAAAATTTCTGAATAAAACTGCTGCTTATGAGTGAAATAAATATTTGGTGAATTATTTGAGTTATTTCATTTATATTGTTAATGCTTCTCTATTTCATTAGCCTATGTTTGTTCTATAGATTGATTCGATATTCCATTTAATTATTTATTTGTTGTTTTGTTTTCTTCACCGGAAAAAAAAACGTATCTCCAAAAGAATGTTGTGTTCGCGCGGGAAAAAATTATACAGACACTGTTTTTTCTTCAAATAAAATCGTGTAATGAACAAGAGAATCGAACAAAATGGAAACGCGTTACATCAAGAAATTACTTAGCGCAAAGCAAGACAGATCCTATCATTATTTCAAAGAAAAAAACATAAGAAGAAAAAAATAATTACAAAAAAAAAACAGAAAAGAAGAAACGTACGTTTTTTGTTCCGAAAACATAAAGCTAACATAACATATTCATTTGTTGCGGTTCGATTTCCAATAGATTTGTTTTTTTTCTTCGGAAAACAAAAGAAGAGTTAATTACTGATAGTTAATATCTGATAGGCTAATAATTGTTGCAAAACAATCGCAAAATCAATCAATAATTAACGTTGTGAATTATCATAGTTAACTTTTTCCATTCATGCATGATGAAACATTTATAATAATTATGTATAAATAGATGCAATCTTTTCCTTTCTTTGTTGTATCGGCTCTCCTGCTCTTCATACAGTCACATAACATCGGGTGCTCTCATTGAATTCGTTTTGTATGTGAGTACTCGCTTTATTTTACACAGGATTCATCTCATTTTTTTCACAAATTTTTGTTTATAATTTTGTTTACTTATTCTCTTACGTTTTTCCATCTAACGTATGTGTGTGTGTGTGATAAAACTTGGACCATGTTTTCCCTTTCATTTGTTTTTTTTTGTTTTTTTTTTCTTGTTTTGTTTGCACAGAATCTCTTTTCCTCTTTTTTTGTGTAATTTTTTCCTTAAACTTTTTTCCTTTTGTTTTTTTTTTTTGGTTTGGATTAGCGAAAACACATAATTGTGATTAAAACTTGTACGGCGCGCGCGCGAGTTACAAAGATTTTAACGATGAGTATATAACTTTTTCCTTCTCTTTCATTCTCTATACAAATTGTCGATTTTCTTTTTCTTTTCAATTGGTTTCTTTTTTTCACTAAAAGTTTTCTTTTGAATCTTTGTTTTATTTGCGTATCAATATAAATCATATCTTTGTTGAAATAAATTTTTACCACAGATGTTGTGTGTGCATTTGCTTTCTGCACAAAATTCATTTTAAAGGTCATCCATATCATCGTCTTCATCTAGGTCGTTAATATCGTCGTCAGACACAATCATATTGTCAATATGCGGATCATTCTCCGACAAACCGAACGGGTACTTTCGTTTGATAGCCTTCTTTTTGTCGTTGGTCTTGATGTCACCATTTTGGACCGTATCACTGATACTCATAAGGTCGTTCATCGCATCCTCGTTATCCGGATCATAGACTTCGACTGGTGGCACTACTTCAGCAACGGTACGCTTCTTACGGAACTCGTAAACTAATGGGAATATATGCTCGATGGCTGCCTGAACATCAGCTACACTGCCAGCTGCCAGAAGGGAGAAGAAAAAGAAACGATTCCAATTTTCATGAAGAAAACAAAAAGCGATACCAATAATGGTTTTGCATATGCAAGTTAAGATGAGGATTTTATCGTGTACGCACCTGTCACTGTAATACTACCCGTTGAGAAGATTTTAAGCGTGGCCTTTGGTGTTTTCAGTTTGTACGTGACACCTGGATGCAATTCTGGTTCGTAGCTTGCGTCCTTCTTGTATTTTTCCGAGAAATTCACTATTTTGATAGCCCAAGGCATGCTGCACGTACCTAACACATTGACAACGCGAAAATTGTTGAAACGCACAGGGAATCCAAGACCTTGCAAACAACGCGCATAACGACGAGCACCAATTTTTGCCTGTAATTCAAATTGAAATCAAAGAAATTTATGGCATTAGTCAATCAGTCGATTTTGATGGCAATTAATTCGATGTTTTTGATTGAAAATGTACCTGATCTTCCGACGTAGCACCGGTACATGTAATTCGACCCGATGACCATATCGATGCCGTTGTGTACGGTCGTCTCAATTTCATTGTCACCATACCATTTTCGCGACGAAACTCAACATTTTTTCCGTTCAATGCAATTTCACGCAGATTCAAGTGACAACGCACACTAAACGAACACACCACATTGTTGATAACAATATCGATTTCGGGTTCGGGCTCATTCTCCTCATCGTTGTTTTCATTTGTTGGCGTTTGTTCGACGGCCACGGGCGTTGGTGGATTCACTTGGGCAGGTTCTTCTTTTCGTTCGCTACTCGGTGGCACAGAGTTCGTGTGCTGCGTACGATTTGTTGTATTGTTTACGTGTGTGGTATTATTGTTAGCAGTGATGGGTGTTTGGGCATGGGCATTGGTATTAATTGGGGTGGCAGCCTTTGATGAAACAATTGATGCAGACGTAACTAGAGCGTCCGACTTGATTACTTCAGTATGGATTGCGGGTGATTGATTCGTATTGCTAATAATTTGGCTGGCGACTGGCGTCGTATTGATGATATTGTCAGTGGTTGTGTTGATATTCGTGCCATTTTGTAGAATCGGATGATGATTGTGTTGTTGTCGCTGCTGCTGCTGCTGCTGCTGTTGTTGTTGGTGGTGGTGGTGGTGGTGTGACACATTGTTTCCCGTTTTGATATGCTGAACTGTGTTTGTATTTTGAATAGTAGTTGTTGTTGTGGTTGTTGTCGAATTCCTTTGCGGCGCAACAATGTTCAGTACTTTTTGCTGTGCATTTGAGACACCGAGAGTCGTGGCTTTGATTGCACCTATCTTTGGTAAATGGTTTTGTGCGACGAATGTCTGTTGTTGTTGAGGCTGATAGAGAGAGTTGGTGACAATTGCATTGACTGGCGCTGTTGTGGTGACGACTGGCCGGAACATTGAACCTACAAAATAGTGCATGTGCGTGTGTTTTGTGTATGTTTGTTATCAATTGGAAAGAGATGCATACTAAATGAGCTGAGGCAGACAGTCAAATGTCGTGACAACAACAACAATGAAACGAGTTGAAAAATGAAAGAAGGAAAAATGAGCACGGCTTACGTCATACAACGTTCGCACAACTTACCATCATTTGGATTGTAAATGATATACTGTGGCTGGGCCTGTGACACCGCTTGCAATTGTTGATATTGAAATGCTTGGATCGGTTGGATGTGTGATGCATTTGCGATCATTGTGTGTGTTTGCAAATTGGTGGCGGTCACATTTGTTGTAAGCGGTGTACCAGTGATCGGCACGACATTGGCATTTATCATCGATGCATTGCCAACTGGTGCCGTACCCATGACGACAACACCATTATTCACTGACAACGTTTTGATGCAATTCTTTTGCAGCAGTGTGGTCATATTTGTCGCAGCAACGTGTGCTCCGTTCGTTTGTTGTGAAATATTCATTAATCTATCGGCAATTTAACGACTTCTAGGCGTATAATTTTCAAATTGATAGATTCTTATCGTTATTTGTTTGTTTGTTTATTTTTTGTTTTCGCTTGGCTTTTTTCTCTCTCTTCTGATTATACTACTACTCCTTCTTCGTATCCATCTACGAACAATTCTGGTATAACAATTAACCGTGCACAACGAGATCACAATACTTTTTTAGGTTTTAAACTTTTGTGTATGTATATATATAAAAAAAAACTATCACTTTCTTTATTTGACGCACACAAATTTTACTTTCGAGCCAGAAAAAAAGAAAGAGAGATAGTGAGAGAGTAGAAAAATCAGTTCAACCGAAACGAGTGCGCGAATAAAATGTATGCCGTGAATCAAGTATCATTTGTTCCTATTCTAATTGCCCGTGTGCCTTCAACTGTGGATGCAAGCGTTGCATTTGATTGTTGTTGGTCGTACGTCGTTGTGTCACTCAGCAAATCAACAATCGAATTTGCTTGCTGGATGTTATTGGTTTCCAAGCAAACCGGCATACACACACAGGCAATTTCGCCGAATCAATGCACTGATCTTTGGTGTATCGATTTGAAGTTCCACGTCAGTATTTCAAACTGTCTGCAAAAAAGAATAATGAAGAAAATTTGATTATTTTTGGAGAAATTTCGCTTTTTTCATTAATTTTTTTTTTTATAAACTCAAAATATTTTTCTGTTGATATAAACCATTTTTCTCCGTTTCTTTTGTAAACAACACCATTTTTTGTTAGTTGAAATGGTTCAAGTGAATGTTTTGATTGAGAATGATGGCAGTCAAAATTGAATACCCGTCATAAAAAAGCAACGAAAGGGAAAAAAATGTGTTCTATATTGGATGTACGATTAAAGTAGAACGAACAGCCTTAAGAAACACGTCGTATCCTTTTGTAATATCATATTCAAATGACAGACACGTCATTCAAACTATTGCTCTACATCTGGTGCCATAGCGTCCAATATTTTACTATGTGGCTACTATATACATCGAAATAGAAAGAGGAAGAGATAGAGAGTGAACGAGCATATTTTCGCGTCTCATGTATGTATGCAAATTCTGCTAGTTTTCCGATATGTATATATGCGTTCACTTTGGATCCGGCGACCCGATTTTAATTCAGCTTTGACTCAATTTGATTTAGCTGTGTTGTTGTTTTTTGTTTGTTTGTTTTCGTGTGTGTGAGTTTTTCAAGATAGAACAGGCGCATCGAATGATACACTTTCAAATCGGCCGTACAGGCAGGCAGCCTGCCTACTTGCTTGTGCTAGCAGCAGCAGCACTGATAAATTTGATGGATAACAAACAAAATGTAATCGCTGTACGGCGCTACACATTAAAATGTGATGCGTTTGTATTTTCAGTCTATCCTACATGAATATGTGTGTTTATTTCACAACTTCTACCCAATATTTCTGCTCAGTGTGTTTATGTATATATATATATATATACGACAAGTAAAAAGTCGAATAAATACAGAGCTGTGCACGATGACCAACAAACAAATCAGAGGAGAGGACGAACACGACGAACAAAATAAAACGTGCATGATGAAAATAACACACATTGGCAAAAAATAATGAATTGTTTATTTTTAGACTCATCGATGAAATCGTATTGTAGGTTTTGATGACGAAACAAAAGAAAAGAAACACAAACACACTTTTCGAATTAAACTCAGCCCCCATTTTGTGTGAATCGATTACCGGCTGTGATTACCTTAGACCTTGCAAAAATCATTATCTATTAAATCTTGTACCGAGCACACGAATCGACTGAATGCTAATCGGCATCGCTCAGATGTTCGCAGCCACGGAATATCTCAATTTTTTTCGGAAGTCAATCATCAGGAATTTGTAGAACATTCGATGGGCTGAATTTTGAGTATTTTATGAACGAGCAATTTGGTAATGCAGCCCCGCAAACGGTTCCGAGCATATTTCGAGCGGGCGGAAGAGAGACAGACGTGTATGTGTTTGAATGCGAGGTGAGATGGATTTCGATTTAATAAATATGCGCATCGATTACTATTTTGAAATTTCCCGATTATGATCAAATTGTTCGTGCGGTCCATTGTCGCACAAGGCCTTCGCCAACCATTAACGTCGTTAACAAGTGTATGTTGCGATGCAGCGCTTAAATCAAAACGATGACGAACGAGAAGAAATAGCAATGAACAAACGTACGAGAAAAAAAAGTGTAGGCAACAGACAAATCCGTACAAAAACACACCATGAAAAGACTAAACGGAGGTTTCGCAGACCTGATACACGGCAGTCAAACGAATTGCGCGCACGCTGCCTTAGTTACTGCCTAATTTTTTTTTATGTTTCCGAACATACAACAAAATTAGCACATTTTTTCTGTGAAATATGTCAAACACGCACTCATTCGGCGCTCGAACCAAATTAAATGCTCGGAATTTGGTACAGCAACGGAGACAACGGCACACAGCCAACCGAACGAATGAACGAATGACTGTGTGCTGCAGTAAATATTCAGCACACTATTAGATATACATTTATATTTATCGGTCGAATGCGTCTGCAATGATGTGATGTTAGGAACAGCCGAAAAAAAAAACACCGAGAGTCGAAACGAACAAGTAACCAAAATGAAAATTGTCACATTCAATTTTGATGTGCGCTCATCTGTCGACATACAAATACACACACACGAGAGCACGGAAAAAGAGCAAGAGATAGCAGCTCGTGAAGAATTAACACATAAAATGTGAGGCAAAAAAATGAATAACACAACGGCAACGGCAACGGCAATGGCAACAACAATAGAACAGACCCATTACAATGATGCTGAATGTGTGCGATATCAGCATCGATATTGTTAGCTAGCGCTTCCGAAAACGAATAGAAGCGAATCGGATTGAGAGACGGAATGTAACACGAACAAAAAAAAAACATACCACAACAACAGCCAAATGACGATAGTTTTAGGACATTGTTGTTTTTTTTATTGTGATTATAATTCGTGTAAACGAAATCTCGCATCACTTTGAGACAGAGAGAGAGAGAGAGAGAGAGAGAGAGAGAGAGAGAGTGTGAGAGCAAGCGGCAGTGCCTCGGTCGCGAACACGCCGATGTGAATTTACATAAAGTTAATCATCTTGGCCGCGATACACGCAGCGTAATAACGTTCACGAAAAAAAATCGGCTGGTGTGTGGACAAATGTGAAGCGTTTCAATGTGGCGTGCACGCGCTTGCACTCATACATTACACAATTGCATTGCTTTACACTAAATTTTTCGCTAATGCATCAAATCATCATGGTTCGGAAATGAGCTCGTGTATATTCGCAATTGTTAGCCAGAGTTCGGAAAGAAAAAGAAACAAAAATCGAGCACATAATTCGAGCTAATGAGTCATTTTTTTTTATTTCCTTCGTTCGTTCGAGATTCAACAGGCTCAAAAGCATACATAAACACAAAATTAAATGACGATTCATGCAAACAACACCGATTTTATTGAAAATGAATGTTTTGCGCTTTTTTTCTCTTTCGTTTTTTTGTCCGTCGTGGTGTTTGTTGCTTCTGCTCGCTTTATTTGCATTGATCGACCGAATCGAATGTATGGCTGGTCGTCGATGATGATCGGCCCATTCAGCTGAAGTTGCAAAAACAATGAACTCATTGTGTATTCAATAAGTACACGTTTATTTTTCTTTCTTCAATAAGAGACCCACACAAAGAGCACCACACACTGAATAAATATACGCATCACGAACCGAAGGATAGGAAAATGCGACGAAGAAGTCGAGGAAAACCAATTTTTTTTTCGTAAGAACGTAATGTATACATAAGTACAGCCTGCATAGAATCATCATAGCCTGTGTGCACTTTGTGTGGTAGATTCCTCATATTTATATACACACACATACACACGGGCAGCGAGCCACAGCTTGCTCATTAGCTCGCTGGCTCATCGTTCTCTATTTATGCAATTTTCGATATATTATTATATATTTTCTGATGTGCTTCTTTTTTCGAGTACAAAAATCCCAATATCCCAGTGCATATACATGCACATACTCACACACCGACACACTTCGGGAGCAAGAGAGGGAGAGAGAATGACAGAGTAAGCGAGAGAGAGGGACAAGTGCACGGAGCTAAACGGGCAGCCTATCATTGAACTCACGAATGTGAACATTAAACACCGTCGTCACCCATATGAGTATAATTCTGTTCTTAGTTGCTATTTCTTCAGTTTTCTTTTAAATGGTCTTTCGTTATGCTATATATTTTTCATTTTGGTCTTGTTGCTTTTCTTTGATCTATGTGAGAATTTCTTTGGAGTCAGATGTTTTTTCTCCTCGTCGTCGTCGTCTTCTTCTTCTTCTTCTTCTTCTTCTTCTTTCGATTCAGTTCGGCTCGGTTTTGTTCTGTTCAATCCGTGTGTATGTGCATGCATTGTTTGCAACAGAACGGGCATGAGCCTGTGTGTACAGGCTCTTTGTGTGAGCTCTCTGTCCGTTCTCACGCTATGCTACCCCCTTTTTTTTTATTAAAATTTTCTTTCATTTCGTCTAATTTCAATGAACTCACGGCCGATTCGTGTGCCTATTTTTTGTGTGTTGCTTTCGTTCATTTAATTATTTAATTACACGGATCCCACTTTGCCGACGATCGAAGACGAGTTTAAGTGCACATTCGGGATTTCCGCACCGAAATTTCAGATAGCAGGCCCAAAATTAAGCCTTTTCCGTGTACCGATTTCAACATTCCATGAAATTCAATGACTAAACAATGAACCACTTTTATTTTCTCTGTGTGCGCATTTGGCTAAGCAAAAAACCCTTTTTCCCAAAAATTGATCGAATGCTTTCACTAGCCAATAGCTGAACAATCAATTTATTCAAACTTGATTCTTCGCATCTATATATTTTTTTTATTCGTATTGCTTTTCCTTTATGGCTACTTCGATGCGATCGTGATGATGAAGAAAAAAAAAATCACGTTTATTTCAATCATTTGACGGAACTGAATATTTTCTTCACATTCACTGGCACCAAACACCATTTAAAAACATTTTTTAACCATTTTTACGGCTATTTACCTTGACAGGGAAAATAAAATTTATTAAATATTACTAGACACTGTGTGCAATGCGTGGTTTCGAGTTCACCATAATATGATTTTCATCTCTTTCATTGACAGTATTGCTCAATGTTATAGGCATACACATACACAAGCACATTCGCCCGTAAAAGTCTCTTTTTCTCTCTTTCGGCCTTTTGATTCGACCAATAGGGATGGAGCGACATGAAGTTGGATGCGCATAGCGAGCCATATTTTCCATTGAAGTCGGTGTGTTTGTTTCCAACAGGCCCTGATATTCAACTGAAGTTGGCATCGAATCAATTTCGGACATTGACAATTACTCGGTTCCTTCGATTTTTGTATTTTGGACCAAATCCAATTTTTATTGCATTTTTCCACCGGGAAATTTTGTCATTAAATCTCTTTTGCAACCAAAAAAATGTCAAAATAAAACTTGTTATTGATTTTCCCTTCCTTTTATTATGATTCTTAAATATGCACATCAGTTGCGTTTGAAAATGTCTAAATTTACACTACAAAAGAGAAACATTGCTCTGAAGAGAGGAAAGAAAATTCCATACAATCTATAATCGACAAATTTCATCGGCTGCAAATATATTAGCGGTTATCTCGAGTTGCTGGTGAGGGTGGGCCATAGATGAACCCAACGATCAAAGCTGCAACGGCAAACCCTTGGCAACCAATACGCGCTCTCATCTACAAAGAAAATAGTCATTTTTAGTTTACATAAAAAATTCTATGTATTTTGTTCTGCGTGAATTTGAGAATTAAATTACCGCATATTGTGATCTCTGTACATCGCCTTTGTACATGGAAAACAAACCATACGAAAGAGCTCCGATTGCACCAAATGCACCTATTCAATTGAATTTAGGATGAAAAATGGGGCAATTATTTCAAAATTTTGCTTATATAATCCTCTCTTTTTAGACTACAATTGAAACGTAGATCGATTTCATCCATTTTTTGTTTCTCGCAAAAATTTCTCTTCTACGCCGTAGAATATCCACTTACCAATGGGCACAAATGGATTTTCGTTAAACTTTCTTTTACATTTTTCGATAAAAGTCTCTTGGTCAGGATTCAAATCTGCAACCAGCTTAACCCAATCGAACTCAACGTTGTCGTACGGTTGCTTATCAGACATAACTCAAATTGTACGTTAAAATTTTTTTATGTTGAACAAATTTCACTCGCAAATATCATTTGCAAGCGATGAAAATAAAAAACAATGTCTTATGCTTAGGAAATCTCTTTCATCTGTCAGTGGCATGTATGAAGTTTCGAACTGTCAAATGGGCTTAGTGCTTCGTTTCCACTACGATAGTATTTTGAGATATGTAATGCCGTTCGTCCATGTTTAACATTCCTTAAATAGTTCTCTACCCGTATAGATTTTCAGTGCAGCATTACAGAAATAAAACCCGATCCGATGTTCAGAGATGTTTCAGTCAAAATTTATTTATTAAATGAATTCTTTTTGCATGAAATCAGCATTTTTGTTTTATTATTTTTTACGTTTGCTTGTCTCTAAAAAAAATGATTGCTATTCTCTCATTCGCACAAAAAGAAAGTAACTAAATTAAAATGTTACTCGTAAAATCTTCTTATATATACATTTCTTGCTTATATGAGAAACGAAAGAGAAAAAAATAATAACTATAAATTAAGGGTAGTTTGTAGTTTTCGCTTAATTCATTCATTTTTGTTTGTTGTTGTTGTTGTTGTTATAGAGTATAGAAATGTAAATGGTAGCTTCTGCGAAAATATTGTGTCGATTCAATCAATCCCCATCAATCACCCTCTTGATGGCGTTGAAAAATAACGCTAGCGCAAACGGGCGGGTACTTTGAAATGTACAATTAAGAAATAAATAGTAATGAATCGATGATTGAGATGATTTCGTTTTATTTGGTGAGCAGTCGTTTGGCTGGCGTTGGACCATCGCTCCCCTGCGAATTGGAGTCCTCTGAAAATGGCGGCCCGGACGACACAAACTCTGTGCCGCCCTGTGAATCACTGACAATTGAGAAACATGTATTTGAATCATCAGCCGATAGACCGAAATTTTGTGTTGCATGCGTACTGCCACCGCCGCCGCCACTGCCACCATTCAACTCAAGTGCAGGTGATGATTTGCTGCTGTTTTCTTTGTTGTCATTCGTTAGAATGGTTCCAGTGTTTTTGAGATGCTTCTTCTTTTGTTCACTATTGTTTATTGGCACCCATTTGTAGATTTTCATTGTCGTATCTCCGATTGTCACCCACTTTTTCTCCCTGAAAAACGAACGAAAAAAAAAACACATCAAAAACCATTATTTGACGTTCAAAATTATTCGAACTAAGCCAAAATTGGCTCTTTTCAGCTCACCAATGCCGGACTTTGTCAACAGCTTGCATAACTCTCTTAATATCATCTTTGGCTCGGCTTCTGGTTTCCGCACGTACTGATCGCGACATTTTCGCTCAAGTGTTTTTTTCCCTTTGCTTCGTGGATTTTTTTTTTAATCTAACGCCGAAATTATTTTAGCACCTCAGAATTTTTTTTTATTGAAGTTTTTGCCAAATTTCGATTTTTTGTCTTGCAAAACAGTAAAAAAAATCAGGTTCAGTAAATCACTGAACCGATTGAACCAAATCAGTTTAATGGCGGATAAATATCAACATATACACGACCTAAAACGCCAAATTCAATATATAATTTTTTCGTCGATTCCTAAACAAATCCATCGAATTTTTTTTCCGCGGTCCCGATTATCGATTCAATTTGGCCAACGATCAAAATAAATCGACCGGCGTATCTTTCGTAACAGTTTTCACTTTTTTTGAACAAAACAATTCCTTAGTAAATATCCAAAGGTGGTAAGCTACTTTGACTGTTTCACACACAAGAAGAGTGCTAATATTGTGTGTTCAATGTAACCAGCAGCCAATTCGATGCAAACAACATGCAGCTAATATGAACGACAAACGTAGCATTGGTTCCCAAAACGGACAGTGCGATGGCGACACCGTACAAATTCGCCGCGCTCATGTCAAACATTTTTCATTTCCATGGCATTTCTGTCACGACCATTTTCACACAATTTCTTTCATTTTTCTGCTGCGAAATAAATCAATGTCGATTGCATTGTCGGATGATGGGTTGTAAATTTCGGTGGTTGTTCATTTGTTTTGTAACGATTTAAAAAGAATTTCATTGAATAATCGGTCGCAGGTGACGTTTAGCGAATAGGCTTCATACTTCAATCAAGCAAAGCAGCACACGCACACATGGACAGCGACAGAGGTCGAGACAATTAAATCCAGATAGCGCAAAAGTAGTGATAGTTGTGCAAAGAAGAAGAAGCAGCACAGAGACGGAGCACAGTAGAAACGAAAGAAAGAAAAGCAATACTGTCGAATGCTGAGTGTCTCGCAAATAGACATCTTTTTCTCACTCACAGCAAGACACACAAAACCAAAAATCGAATCGGAGAAAAAGAACGGGAACATAATTTTCCATTTTCTAGCGAACCAAAAGAAACAAATAAAAAGAAACCATAGACGAAACGAAATCAGAAGAACAAATATCAAATTGCAGTGCAATTCTGAAGTTCGTAGATAAATCGAAAGCTGGATTTTGTGTTGCAAATCAAATCAATTGTCGACGACTCTGTTTTTTTCTTCTTCTCGCTTGTTAATGTGAATCATAGTCGACACATATTACAGAGAGAAAAATATTTCTTCGACATTTGGTGCGTGTGTATTTGTTTGTCTTAACTACAAATTTGTTGGAATCAATGTATTTTTAGTATTTTAGAAGAAGAAGAGTATCATATTTTGAAGTTCATCGAATTCGATTTCGGTGTAGTATCAATCCGCAAGTGAATCGAAAAAAAAGGAATAAGATAAGAAGCGAAATGTCTTGTGTATATGTGTCACTATCAACATAAATTATGCGCTATCAAGACGGGAACAATCTGTCTCAAAACTGAATTGTGAAATGTGAATATTTCGTGTAAAATTGCCAATAAATCTTAAGCAGTTAAGTGTGTGCGGTTGTTTTTTTTCGTTTCGTTTTTATTTTCGCAAATTAGATAGAGAGCGAACGGATGAACGTGAGTGAGAAAACGAACGAACAAAACAAAAATGGAAAAATGAACACAACTCCGCTAAGCAATTAATCCAATTTTGATTTTTTAAGCAAATTCTGTGTTTTTTTTTAAATTAACATCGACCCATTCAATTTACACATAGAAATAGCAAGTCTAATCTTCGGAAATTAGTGCAATTAAACGGATTACATGGAGAGAGAGAGAGAAAAAAGAAATATATATATATTCATTGTGCAGTGGCTGGACTGAACCCCCGTGCTACGACGGATGAGAAACACACCAAATCGAAATATACAAAGTAGCATCGAGAGCTCGTCGAAAATAGCCTTTGGCTTATTCTTTTGGTTGTTGCTCTGTTGTGTGTTGGCTATTTATTTTCTTCTGTGTGTTTTTTTTTCGTTCGTTCTTCTTTTTTCCATCGTTTATTTTATATTCGTCAAACGCTGTCGCGCAAACCGTATGTTTATTAACATGTCTCTGGTGTTGTTCGCGGTCACAAATCGTCAATGTGTGTGCCGTGTGTCTATCAAGTGTTGTGTGGTGGCATAAGGAGTATGCATTTGTAGCTCTATTTATCGGCGATACACCGATCTATGTGAACTGAAAAACAAGCAACTTGCTTGTGACTGCTCTGTTGCCGCCGCTTAAGGAATATCCAGTTACATGGAGAATTTATTGTTGATGTCGTTGCCGTCATTGTCCGTGCTACCTTTTTATTTTTTGCTCATCTTTTATTACCATTCAAACCCATCAAATACGAGATCCATTCGACACAATCCTATGTGTGCAGTACAATCACAATAACATAAACAACAACATTCGCCAAATAGCAGAAAGCACATGAAAAAGTGTGTACGGCGAGAGAGAATTTCATCGCTGCAATAACCGAATTTAACCACACCGAACATTATCATCTTAACCCGTTTGCAAACGCATCGACAATTTACGTCGTCGCATTCGACGTATTCCAGTAGTTTAGTGTTTTATAATCGTAAAAAAAAGAAAGAGATACGACAACAGAATACAACTAAAAATAACTGCAATAAATATTTGAAAGAAAAAATAGAGAGAGAGAGAGAGAGAGAGAGGAAGAGAGTTTGAGTGAGTGTTTCGAGCAAAGCAACCAAACAGAAACAAAATTGTGTACACAAAATGCCGAAATGTAGCCTGAAAACGAGGTACATACCAGCCACATTTGCATGGCTTTTACTGCTTGGAACCACAGTCGCCTTTTTCTATTATCCGTAAGTGTCAATCAGTATTTTAATTGTTATTTAGATATTGTGTGCGAGCGAATGTTGTGAGCATGTGTGATGTGCCACTGTTGTTGGTTGAGTGGTTCGATGGGAAACACGAAGACAAGCGACAAAAGGGGAAGACAAACTAAAGACTATTTTTAAGGTATCCACTTGATAAATTGCGCTGCGAATGTGTCGCGCTCGGTTCGCGTATCACTTGGATAAGAGCTCATTGTACTAAATTGTTGTCATCGTCAAGCCAATTGCATATGTTTCGCTATGTTCAGCAGCCAATGTTATTGTTGGTGATTGCCGTCAATTGTGTTGTGTGTTGTTTTTTTCTCCTCCTTCTTCATTCTTCATTCTGCCACCGTTTTCAGTGAGCTAGCCGCCCGTTTTAATGGCTTGTTGAGCCCACAATTATGCGACTAATTTGATACATTTTGCTCGTTCCAGTTCATTCAATGTACAAAAATATGTTGCAAATGACATTGTTTAAGACGATAAAAAACAACGACAACAAACAGCTTAAATCTGTACGAACGAAACCACAACAACAAAAAATGGTTCGACTCACTTACGCTCTGTGTGTCAGACGTTCCGCCAAACTAATCAATAACAAAAGAAAGCTAAATGCGCTCAAGTGAGTGATAAACAGGCAAAATAATTGCATGTGCGCTTTTTTTTCGGTGTGCAGAATATCACGACCAACATCGGCTTTGGAGTACTTCACAAGGCAACTTATTCAAATGGCACAAACGAATTATCGCATTATGTTATTGAATTCCCTTCAAATGACAATGTGTATTGGATAGTGGATCTACATTTGCTTTTTTAGGTCTCGCTTTTAAGGACAAGGTTCGAATGCTTTTTTATGTCATCACATTGGTGATATTCGATATCGTGCAATAGCTAATATGAAAGCGTTATGTCTAGCCTCAATGGAAATTATACTCCAAATTACACAATCAATCCCTAATGATCAACATTCGACATCGATAAAATGCAACCGAGAGAAAGAGAGAGAGAGAAGATCAAATCAAAATCCATTCGTCACTCGAGCACAAATCCCAAGAACTCATTCCCAATGGATATAATCATAATTGCCTAATAAATGACACACTGTAATGAAATTCCACGTAAAACAAATCTATGGAGAGACAAACAGAGAGTGAGAGAGAGAGAGAGAGAGAAAAGAAAATAACAGGACAACCACATGACATACCAAATGTAAACTGAAACGCAATGTATTCTCATTTTTTTCCAATAAAAATGTCAGTTATATGGTTTTTATTGGATCACAGACTTGCTGTCTTCCGTTCTCATTCAATATTTACATTCGACATCTCTCGCTCGCTCGCTCTCTCTCCTTCTCGGTATTTAAACAAGAGAACAAGTGTCCCGTAGCTGTGAGCTAAACTAATTGCAGAACGTTTGTCCTTTCCAATGACTCTGAATTTAATCAACGAAACATATCAAACACCATTGCAACCGTAGGAAATATTTCGTGGTAAAATTCAAAATTGTCATTATTTCGGTAAAACAAGTGAGGCGTGTGTGCTTACGTAAGAGAAAAATATCACGTTTTATTTACCGTTTAAATACGCTCCTCGAAGCGTTAGCCGTAAATGAAAGTTTTCGTTTCTTCTCTCATTCTTATTCTCATTTTGGCTCGTATTTCAAATGGCATCTTCATTTCAAACAAGGCATATATTATTTGTAACGTAAAATGTGTCATCTATGATATCATGGTTACAAAGGAATTCTCGACCAAACGGATGGCATCTGCAGCACTGCTGCTGCAGCAGCAGCAGTATCAGTATTCGAGAAATATGTAGTGTGTCAGTTTCACTTTGTAGTGGCAGTGCATTTCAAACAAAGAGCTCGACCTGACGATGTTATTATTCTCTTTCGCATGAATTTCATTCATTCAAAAGAGCTGAGCTGAGCTACGCTGTATGGCCAAAGCGATTATCATTCGCACACGAGAGCGCCGTTATAAAATTCACTTGTGGGTCTAATCGAAGTATTGCCACTTGAAATATCTATATGAATGTTTTTTATGTAAATGTAATGCAAAAACCAGAAAAAATACGACAATTCAAAATCATCGCCGCCTCTCATATTCTCTTCGGTATTTCTGTACGTGTTTTTTCTTCTTCTATTTGTCGTGCGTCGGTTGCTTGTGAATGAATATAATGAACGTCGTCTTTCCGCGTACACCGCGTATCCCATTCACCGTGTATTTTTTTTCTGCTATTTTTTCGTCGCTACGTCCAATCTATACACTCCTTAATTATAAAAATTTGAATGCGTGCGCGATTGCCCATATCACCGCAGTTCTATTTCACGAGTAAAATGAAAGCAAAACGCCACCGTGAAACCACACGTAGCTAAAAATACGACGAAAAAAAAAACACATGAGGCGCCGTGTGTAACATGGGCGCGCATTTTCAATTTTAATAGGTCGGTTGTCGTATCTACTCTGATGCTAGCTACTACACTGTAGGTGCGTTCTTCTTTTCGCCACTTCTTCTTCTTCTCATGCGAGTGAGTTAAATATTCATTCCTGCCACGATTTTCCATCTCATCCAAAAGCAAAGTGCATCGTTCTGCATTGTTTTTCTCTCTTGAGCCCTTCGCTTGTGCTTAGTTAGAAACGGCGTTTTTTTCTTCTTTCACGAAGCAGCTGCGAAGAAAAAAAATGAAAATGCAAACGCTTGACATGGAATCAACAAAAGTAAACTAATCACAGAAAACGAGGGAAAAAAGGTCAATGGACAATTGTTTCTAAGGGCATCACGCGCGCTTCCACTTTTCATTTATGAAGGGAAAGAGAAGAAGAGAACGGCGAAAAAGATTCGAAAAAAAATTCCATGGAAAATGCTTTCAAAAACATCGGAAAAACACACTCAATCGTTTCTACATATCTTTTTCACTCTATCTAGTGTTGCGCGTGTGAGCATAAAGCATGCACTATTTGCTTGTTTTATGGTGTGTGCGAGATGTTTAGCGAGAGAGTTAAAAAGATAGAAAGATAGATATGGAGAGCAAGAGTACGAGAACGAAAGATGCTCCAACATAATGAACGCAGCTGTAACAACAGTACTTAGGTTATCTCTCTTCCTCTCTCTCTGCAATTTGCATTGCAGGATTCTTGTGTGATTTTTGCATTTACACACCAAAAACACATCGCGATGCATGCAACCATGCAACCGTTTCCATACACACATTTTGTGATGCAAATGAATGAACCGATTGTGTATTTATGAGTCGCAGTTTGCTCTTCACTGTATATTTTCCTTTTTTTGCCTTCTATCTCTGCGTTGGTTTTACATTACCGTAAACGCAACACGATATAGCATACATAGCAGTAGTTTATGAATGCAATTTACTCTCTATTGGTATTGACATTGGCATAAGCAATGGTTGTGGCGATGACTCAACTGAACTTTAGAGTTCACATTTTTATCTCTCTAACAGTTTTATTCACATCGATAACTTGGTTTGTTCATGCTTGAAGCATGTTACGAGCGAAATATTATGACGCCAAAAACGATTAATTCGTGGTCATATAACTAAGAATAGCCGTTTTTCTGGCTTATCAAGTGAACAAAAGGTGATTTTTTTTCTAGCATTACTTTTGAATCAAATGGAACAACGCCCAGTTTAGTTAGTTCATTTTTGGGCGTGAGAGAGAGAGAGAGAGAGAGAGGGGGAGAGAGAAAGAGAGAGTGGATGACAGAGAGAAATACTTCGCTTCTAATTCTTGTTAGACACATTTCTGTTGTTGTAAACATGTTTGATTCACTTAATTAAATGGTGTGGACGTGCTCACGTGCGCATGAAAAAGCGTGAGCATTTGGCACAAAATTTCTTCTGCTTCACTGATCACTCAATAACGTGTAATCGACGGCAGCCGTTTGCTTTCCTATCGACCGTTTTCGACAATGTTTGCTGCTCATTTTCATTTTTCGTTGGGTTTCGTTTGAATTACCAAAACTGTCGGAAGCAATCATAAGATTTATTGCATCAAATTAATTTCATTTCCGGTCATTAGAAAGTTAAACTAGTTTAGATTCAGTAACAAACCGTAATTTTGGGTTTGAAATAACGCGGTATTTTTTACCCGTTTAATTGTTCATTACAGATGTCAATATTATATATATAAGCATCCATGGGTACCTGCATATCAAGGCGTGATAACGTTTTTTGTAATAGCAAATTTCACGCTGGCCACGTTCATGGACCCTGGAGTTATCCCCAAAGGTAAAGGTAGAGAAGTAGCAAATCATATTTATTTTCCGTAGTTTTACGTCAATTTGATTTTTTTCCATTATTCACACTGAATTAACATGATAATTCCATTAAATTAGCACGCGCGCACTCGCGCTCAGATACACACGAGTCAATGACTGATTTTGTTTGCTCAATCGGCTTTTTTTTCATTTTTCTTAGCACCACCTGATGAGGATAAAGAAGACGAATTTCGATTTCCATTGTACAAAAATGCCGAAATCAACGGCATTACGGTGCGAATGAAGTGGTGTGTAACGTGTAAATTTTATCGGCCGCCACGATGTTCACACTGTTCCGTGTGTAATCATTGTATTGAGGTATGTGAAGATATCGAGAGTTGTTCGATTCGCGTTGCATTTATGCAAAACTAAGCGCTGAAAAGTATCAACATGCATTTAAAAAAAAACATTTCACTTTTTTAACGGTGTTTTTTTGTTTCGTTCTTTCTCTTTCTCTTTCTCTTTACAGACTTTTGACCATCACTGCCCATGGGTAAATTATACACAAGATTTTCACTTACTTTCAATCAATAACAGCCAGCGTATTAAATCATTTTCACTGATGAATTGCTCGATTGATTTAGATGTCTAACAAATTAATTCGAACGAGTGAAAGAATTAATTAGTGCTTTAACAGCAAAGAAATCAGTCGGATTTGATTTGATTGGGTTATTTGCTCATATGGTTTCCAACTCTTTTTTTTCACCATGTGCATTTTTCCATTTAACAGGTGAACAATTGCATCGGTCGACGGAACTACAGATTCTTCTTCTTTTTTCTGATATCGTTGTCCATTCATATGATGAGCACCTTTTTGCTCTGTCTCTTTTACGTTTTACATCATAAGAAAGATTTAGCTCAACCAGCGTCCATTGTAGCGTATCCTTTTTCAACAGAAATATGAACCAACAATTCCAAATGAAATGTGATTCTTCCAATTACATTTCACATGGAGGAAAATCTATTTTGAGATAGATTCAATTATTATCCAAGCAAATATAAAATCTTTATCCTCTTTCTATTTTCACATTTCCATTGAAATGATTTTCCTTGACTAAATTGTAATCGATTTCGTCGTAAATAGCATTGTTTTAATTGCCATCGTAATTGTGCTAGCCATTCCAATATTCGGTCTAACTGGTTTCCACATGGTGTTGGTGTCGCGGGGGCGAACAACAAACGAACAAGTGACTGGTAAATTCAAAGGTGGCTACAATCCATTCTCACGAGGATGCTGGCATAATTGTTGTTACACGCAATTCGGTCCGCAATATCCAAGGTCAGTGTTGCGAAAGCTGAAGCGCGTACATACATTTTTTTAAAGCCAAATCAATCGCATATACGCTAATCCGATACATGTTTTTCTATTTTTCGCAGTTTGATGAAACCGCAGAAGTATGCGGCATGCCGTTCAACGAAAGAAAACCAAACGATTAGCACCATTACAAATGAAGAGCAAAGGCACACTGGTAATAATGCAGTTCAGCATTCAGGTATTTATGAAGTCGACCAATCGACACAAGTGAAAACCTATACCGACCATGGGAACGGCTACGGCCAACGATCGGGCGGAACAACTCATTACAGCAAGGTAATTAAACCTCGGATAAAATCCAATACGTATTTCGGTTTCGTTTGAAGAAACACGCCAGCACACCGGTTGCCATTAATCAATTTTTCATTTTTCGTCGCTTTGCATTTGATTTGTTGCAGCTTTCACCGGGACGTGAATGCTCCGACACTGATATGGATCCACAGGGTACTCAAAGCCAAGATTGTGAGCCAACGCCACCGTTGCAACGGCATAATTCAAACTTTTATCTACCTCCAATCGAAGGCGAATCACCGCGTCACGTTCGAATGTATCATGCACGTCATAGTCCACATGCCAGACAAAGGTCATTATTTTGCTAAACCAATCTACTACATAAATTGCACGTTTAGTTATATACAGAGTATGAAGAGACAAAACTCAGAAAAATTCCTCTCCCAGTTTTTTTTTTATCAAAACTTTTTTAAATATTCGCTTATTTTGTGAAACATTTTTTTTTAAAAGATAGTTTTGCAACTAATCTAGCTTTTAACTATTTTATTCATAAAGTTTTTAAAACTTCCCTATTAATATTTAGAAAACATTAGAAAACAAAAACAAAATACCAATCCAGCTTGATATACCCCTTTAATTTATTTTGCGCTTAGTGCAATCGCGTAGAAAAAAAAGAAGAAAAAAAAGTATTATACAAATTATTATTTAGGTTATTATTTCTCGAAATAAAAACCACTTGCATGCTGTGACACAAAACCTGACTTGTTGTATATAATAGAATTTTAATTTGTTGTACATAGAACTTTTTTGATTTTATTTTGGGTGTATAAATTGCTTTCTTTTTTCCCCCGTTGAATATCATTTGCATTTCATCATGAAAACCGACACAACAACAACAAAAATACCATCTGCAATATTTTCTCTCTTTTATTTTGGCTTCTCTCATACGTTCGCATGATTGAATTTGGTGGTTTGATAACGTATACAAACAACAGGGGCCTTGATGTATCACGTGGATACAATCCAGATGCACTATCACCCGATCAAATGATGACCGGACCGAATGCAATGCAACAACAGGGTTCAGCTATCCGAATGACCTCGGCAACACCAACCATGCAACAGCGTATCAAAGCTCTCGGTGTTGCAACTCCAATAGCTCTATCTAGTCCTGTTCGAAGGTATGTTTGTTCGCTATTTATGTACTAGGTTCGGCCCAAAAGAAGCAGCGTTTGTTTTTGTGAACGGCATGTTCCAACTAGTAAAAAACTCTGTCAAAATTTTTAACTCTCTTTAGTTTTACCCTTTCTGACTAAGTTTTTTTTTTCAATTTTGAGTTAATTTTTTCTTTCGTCTGTCAAATGTCTTTTTTATAGCCGATCCACTTGAAATTTTATTTATCTTATTTATGATTATAATCCAACTCTATTGATAATGTTTATTTTTCATGTTACTGCTCTCCCGAACTTAAACCATCTTCAAATTTTTAAAAGGTGGCCTTAATGTTACAATTCACACTCGTCTCTAACGCGATCTCCGTGAAACATACAAACACACACAAAATTTACGTTCCCGCCATGACTGTGCATTCTTTTTTCTCCTTCATTGAACAAAAAAGCGAATCCATTTCGAATCAAGCCAAACCAGAAAAAAAAGCAAAACAAATTCGAAATAAATGTGAATTTCCCGATCCAAATAAACAAACGAAAAAAAAATTGAAACGAATTCCAAAAACCGAATAAAAAACAAATCAAAACCAATTTTTACTCACAATAAATCGGGTAAATAGATAAATTGATTGCGTATCTTTTTCACATTTTGAATTTTTCATTTTGAATTGAACGCATTTCTTTCTTCCAATTTCTATGCATACACTATAATTTTGCTTCATTATTGCCTATATTTTGTTCGTCATTTTGAATCTTGTTTTTTTTTTGTCTCTGTTATTCAATTACAACCGAATTTGGCTTGTTATTTATTGATTTTAGATTATGAATTGTGGGCTTTTCTCCAACAAATCTGCAAATTTATATTTTTCATTCATTTGTTATCCACAAAATGCATAAACAAAGAGCTTTATTTCACAATGGCATTCAGTTCGTAAGATTTTTGGTTTCACAATTCAATTTTATCATTTAGTTTTCGAATCGCAGTAGCATTTAAGTAGAGCAATGCACATTATAGATGCCACCATTTCGTTTTGGCCAACAAATTCCGTTTGTTTTTATAAGCATATAGTTTTGTGAATTGTATTGAGTGTAATAAATCTATTATCAGTTTGCTCATTTTTATATTCATGATTTTCCCTGTTCATTTTGATAATTGCGTTACATGACGAATGGCGTGTGGTTTTACTGTGAGCATCAAATTTCAAAATATCATTTTTATATTCCACATCTATGGCTATGATAACTACTAGTTTCATTTTCGTTTATCAAACCGTTCTGGGGTTTTAAGTTTCACATCAAACACATACACATACGCGATTACCCATTTCAAATACATGTAAAATACAATGATTTTGTTTCTCGAACATGGATCAATCAAAACCAAACATAGACACGTATTTATTTTTGTGCATATTTTTCTGCTCGATATAATCACACCATGTTGACATAATATGTATACATATATAAATAGGTTTAGTACAAAAACAACAACAACAACAACAACAACAACAACAAATAACCTCTAGCATTGTAAATGCGATTTTTTTACTGAGTTCTCAACGACTATTTTGTTTTTGTTTGTTTTTCTATCTCTCTCGTTTTTTTTCTGTAAAGTTAATCCAATTTCATAACTGTATATTGAATTCACTGATCATGAGATGTCTCAATGAGACAGCATAATGGTCGATATGTGAGACTGAGTTAAATGGCAGAAAAAAATCGATTTTATGATTGTTTGATACATTTGTTTATTGCATTGATTTAGCATTTTTGTAGATTTTTTTCACACGCAAATTTTCCCATTCCGTTCCGCTCACAAAAGTATTCCACTTATATTAATCGAATATGTGTATGGTATTTTATTGGAACCATTTAGATCAAATCCTGGGACACCTACTCAACCACGACGCCCAGACTTCATTGGCGTAAGCAATTCCAATCAAATGCCTAATAATATGATGAATATTCATCAGCAGCAACAGCAACAACAGCAGCAAATGATGTATCCGCATACGTTAGGAAAGCAGCAGCAGCAACAGCACGAGAATCAAATTCCCGGTGTTCATCGTCAGCAGCAGGTGCAAAATCAATCAGTTTATGGTAGTCCACAACGAAGAGTAAGTTGATGTTTTTTTGCCAATATCCAATGCATTTGGAAGCGGGAATTACAACAATTTATCTTTCTATACAAAGTTTCTTAGTGAAGGTGAATTAGTGCGACAAGGTGCTGAATTATCTTATGCCCGATCAAATAATACCGTAGATAATATAAGAGAGTTAGCGAGTAGTCCACAGCATGGTGTTTACATGTGGAAAGACAATTCACCCGGCTACAATAACGGTCAAACCGTCGGCCCACAATTTCCCGGAGCACAACAGCAGCAGCAGCAGCAGCAACAACAACACAGCAACATGAATATGCATCACGAATACATGCGAGCCGCTCAACAAATGCCACCACCGCCAGGCCATATGGTGACCCAACAACAGCATTACGTACCAAATAACATGCAACACGATTACAGTGTTGGCCGTCATCGATCGAATCCGACTAGTCCGACACAGCAACACGGGAATGTTGCCAACAATAATGCTCAACGATTTAATCAAGTACGTTATATTACCAAACCGGTTTACATTTTTGTTTCTGTTCTCTATTCCCTTTCACTCTTTCTATTGCACAAATTATCTTGTTGACATGGTTTGACCTTGACATTTAAATTGAAGTTTAATTTGTAATTACACTTGCGCAAACAATATCACATACAGAGCAATGAGTAATGTCGTTTTGTGTTCATTTCGGCTTTTTCGCAGGTGCCGATCACAACAACAGCTGGTGGTTATCATCCGGCGTTAAGAGGTGGCGTCCCCGTGTTCCCACCACAGCCACAACCATCACCGCAAGGCAAACGAAAAGCAACACCAACGCGTCCGATTTCATTTGTGCGTGCACTCGAAATGGCCGACTCCATGGAAATGCAAGCAATGACTTCTGATCAAAAATCGGGCGGTGCGATCAAAAACAACGGAATGATCAGCTCAAGTGCAATAAACAATAATGCTGGCAATCAATCGAATACTCAAAAAACCACTACACCAACTCCCGATCGTGCTAGTGTTTATGATGTTAACTATGAAATCTCCGTATAGTTTTTGAATTTGATGTCCAAGCGATAGAATAATACACTCACACGAATTATGTAAACAAAACACCTAGAAGTTAAACACAGAAAAACCAACCTAAATGAAAAAAAAAACAAGACTCTTGTGAATTATTATGAATTAAATGTTTTAAATGGAATCAAATTCTATCTCGTGATCATCAAATAGCAATGTCCTACATTTATGCATCGCATTCATACACCGACCAGATATAGATAAATGTGCTTTCGAGACAACAGCAAACAACAAATCGACCCCTAGCAAAGAAAAAAAACAACACTCACATACACACAGATACAATGTGACGTGTGTGCGCCCCCCTGAAATCGAAAGTCTTCAGCTGTCATTTTTGTAGAAATTAAGTGAATATGTAAAAATAAGCATAAAAAACAGCAGTTCTTTGTAAGAAGTCAATCTATAGAAGAACATAATCAATGTATAAAATAATCTAGATAAATGTGAAATGTGAGAAACAACAATGAAGAAGAAAGAAACCAATGAGGTGAGGCGGCAAAAAGGCAGAAGATGACGTTATTTCATATCTTTGCAATAGCAAAAAAATGATAGTTCACTGTTTTTTTGTTTGTTTTTTTCTTTGTGTTCGATGAGACTTTGATTTTCAAAGTCAATTTTGTATTTGTTGGTAGGTTGAGTTATGAACGGCTGTCGCCCATTCAGTACGACACAAAGTCATTTGATAGATGATTTTTTTTCGCCACCACCCAAAAATAAATAAGAACGTAGAAACTGTGTTTATGTACATAAAAAGAAGTGGAAACACCTTTCATATAGTTCATGTCATGGAAGTTTATGTCAAGATGAAATGATATATATATATATTTTTGTGAAATGAAGAACAAATTAATTCATGTTACGTTCCCGTTTGAGCTACTCCTCTTTGTGAAAACCGTCTCTTCTATATTCACTTCGAAAGAATCGCAAAGCACTAAATATCTAGCTACAGAATGAAACTAATGCAATTTATGCACTCATAATAGATTCAATGGAGAAATAGAGAAATGCTAACGAAAGTCAATCGTCCGTCCGATATGATCTTTCATTCTGTCTTTCTTCATCTTGATGCGATCACATCAAAATTCTTGTGATCCCCTACCACACACAAACCTTACTAATTCATGTTTTGTTTTTGTTCAATTGTGTGTTTCAGACTTCAGTTAACTTATTCTTTGTTAAAATAAATTATTTTTTAAACTCCTTATTAGGAAAAAAGAAAAACGAAAAGAAGAAGAAAAAACAATGAAAAATCAATCAAATCCTATCTATAATATGTAAAATGTTCAAAGAATGTAACAAACAAAACGGTAAATTTGTTAGTTTTCATTAATGTTTAGTCAAAATGGTGTTTTGTTTGTTTCTTCCTCCGTTCTTTTGTTTATCTAATGGCTTTATGTTTTTAAGGTGCATCGCGTTTTTTGTTCTCTATTTTCTTTTCTAAAATCGTGTTCATCCAAACGGATGTTCAACACTCATTTTTCTATTTACACATTGATTCAAATAGCAGTCGTGAAACCCAGACAACAATTTTTCAAAACGGAAAGGGAAAAAGAGAAAGAAAAGGGGAAAAAACAGTTGCGTATTTACAAAATGAGATGAAAATTCCGTGGACATAACCATTCTTCATTCGAATAGCAATCATTTTAAAGTTGTTATTGAATTAGAAACATTATTATGGGACTAGATAGCAAAGTAAATAGACAATTACACGTACATTCACTGTAAAATTGCATTTAAAAGAAATAAAGAGAAAAAGAAATTAATGATTTGTATAACAAACAGAAACAACAACAACAAAATTCATCGATTGTCATTAAGATTTTTTTTTTTTAAAGATAGAAATATTTTTCACTCACAATTCGGCGAACAAATTTCGAGCTTTAAATAATGTTTTTTAAATGTGATGAATGATTTATTTTTAAACGTTTGATTTTCATGAAAATGCGAATTTTGGATTCGAACACTCGAACCCAGTGACCAAATTCATCGATTTTAAATGCGATTTTTAGTCATGACACTATCGTCTAAGAAACAAAACACAGAAAAAAACAAAAAAAAACAATTCAACACATTCAATTGTATTTTGACACTCCATTTGTGAACAAAATTTTACACGTATGGTGTTTTACAATTAAATCAGCATCGGGTTTTTTTCTGTGTAAGCATCAATCACATCAATCATTTAAATGCCAAAAATAAGGGAAGAATGTATGAAATGTATGGAAATTGTTTTTTCTAGCAAACGAAAACCGAATGTAATACGAAGAGAAGCTGTAACTTCATTCAAAATCATAGAACCCTATAATTTTTTTCCTCCATTTTCAACATTTTACATACAATTTAGCTAGCAATTTTGCATAAGCAGAAAAAAGGTAAAAAAAGAATTAAATTTCGAATCAGTGATCAAGCGACAGCAATGAGTGGCAACAACAACAAAACGTAGAATTTGTATACAGATTAAAAAAAAACAAACAAATGAATTTCATCCTAAGTAAAAATAAAAATTGGAACAAGCATAATAAAGAAAAATACATTTATGTAAATGAAAAGTGAGCGTTCTTTTATTTCAAAAATGATGAATTCACTATTGCAACCGTATAATACAGAAGAATGGATTAATAACAATGAATTCGGCAAAAAAAAATTCCAAACAAATCTTCTATAAAATGATATTATTTATTCAATTATCCATAAAAACAGCTCGGGATAAGGCACCTTTTTTTCGATTGTGCAGATAACAAATTTAAATTCGATATGTTCGGAATTCGTTGGATTGACGATGTATTCGAATCTATAAATTTTGAATTTCATCAAGGCTTTCATAGAAATTGTTTACGATTTCCGCAGCGCGTTCCATTCCTCTCTCTTTGTAACTAATTACCTGAAGCTGCTTTAGCAGACCGTTTTTCATGAGAAAATCTAACCATTGAATTTTGATCTTATCACCCAAGTCCGTACATTTTTTATACTTCACCAATATCTCTAGAAGGAGATCTAAGGCTTTGATACACATGCTTTCTTCTGGCGATACCAATGTTTCGCTTTTTATGACTTTGATAACAACCATGTCAAGAAATTGAATGACCTGATTTGACTTGGGAGAAACATCTAATTTCGATATCAATTTTGCAAATGCAATCAACGTATTTTGCCGTAGACCGTCGAGCTCATCTTTCTCACATAGATTTGGTGTGACTTCGAGACCCTTGAGCAACGCACCTCCCAATGTTGCATTCAAAACGAGATCCAAAATGATGCTGACATCATGTAAGTTTGGTACGAGATTTCCTATGAAAGATTTCAAATGTCACCAGTTAGTTTCTGGTTTTTCGCTCTAGAATTAAAGCTTTTTTTCATTACCCAACACTTTGTACGAAGCCGTCAATGGACACAAGTTGTTTGTTTCTTCCACAATTCCAATGATTGCACCAAATATGTCGCCCTGCAAAGCATCCATAAGACAGACAGCTGTGATGGAATCTACCAATGCTTGGATGACAGCAAATTTGTCCGCAACTTTCAATTGTTGAATCAACTAAAAGGATTGAATTGTAAATATAGTGTCCATGGTATCGAAATACAAAAAAAAACTGTGATCAAGACATTTACCCGTGTGTTTAGATCTGTTTTAATCCCCTCATCTATTTCATTCCATTCGTTTTGTTGAACAGTGTGGACCAATTTCGATTTGCTTGTCAAATGTCGACAGATTTCCCTGGACGCAGCTATTCGAATAAAATCCGCCTCGTCAGTATCGCCTAAAATTTCAACCAACTCGACCAGAAAACAACCGAAATTTTCAGCAGCTTTTCTATCCAAATCACCAAATGTACCAAAAATGTTTGCTATACAGAACAGAAAAAAACACACAAATGTTGCTGAATTAACCACACTTCAAATAAACAATCTGTTATTCTTACATTTCTCTTCCAATTTTTCTAAAAAACCTTTTAGATCCATTTTTGTGGAGTTTCTTTTCTTCTGTGCAAATGATAGTGCGTTTTACCGGCTTTTGCCACACGGGAGTGAAGTTGGTTGCCATGAATACGTAAATTATGTTTGGTTACGTATTGATATCAAATACGTATCGGTTTTTCTACGCATGTCATGGAAATGACAAAGTTTGTTTATTATTTTACTCTGATATGAAATAATTCTATTAACAATTGTTTATTAAATTTACCGAATCGCAGTAATTAAAAGTTCTTGCGTTTCATTTTAAAAATACCCAAATATATCCGTTCACAATATCTCTCTAAACGAAGTATTTTAAATTCAGTGATACCAATCGCCAAATTATACGAATATTTTCATAACGAGAGAGGTTTTCTCAGCATCCGTTGAACAATTCACACAAAACAGCACTGCATTATGGAAAATGAATTTGATTCATTTGAAAATGCAAAATGCACGACCGAAGCTACAAAAATTACCGAATTAAATACAGACTGCTTGGAAATTATATTTGAACATTTGGATTTTAATGATTTGATTCATGTGGCCGATAGCAGCAAACAGTTTTATGGTGCCGTGTGCCAGGTTTACAAACGAAAGTATCTAAATATGAATCCGATATTAGATATTCAGTATGATCCTGCGTATAAATACAGGTAGTATCATTTTTGCTATCCCATTCAAATGATGAAGTGTTACATTTAAATTTAAATTTATACATTTACAGTAAATTTTTGAATCAGCAAGTGGAAAGGGATGCATTGGAGCAGAATCCATTAGTATTCATTACCAAACCAATAATATTATTAAAACTCCTACGCCACTTTGGACACTTGATACGGAATTTGGGGATTGGTTTTTCGAAATTGAATATGAAGCTGTGTGTTGGAATCGAAATCTATTTGGCCAAATATTGCTCTGATTCATTACAACGATTTTCTTTGATATGTAATACGTCAAAAATTGCTTTCAAAGATTTACAAAAACCGTTGAAAAAAGTCATAGCTTTGAAAATACATACGGTAATAGATCAAAAACAAAATCACATTCAATTCCTCAATGAAAGTAATCTACCAAATGTTCAGCATATTTATATAACTAACCACGATGGTTTGCATAATTCTGAAAAAGAAATTCACTACGAAAACATAGAAAGTTGTACGATCGAATCTCTTCGAATGGATAAATTTCCATTTTCATTCGGAAATCTAAAGCATTTTACGCTTGCGGGTAATATCTGCCTAAACGATGCTTTTTGTCAATGTATCAGCAAAATTGAACACTTGAAGACATTGAAAATAATGGATATGTTAATTTTTGACTCAGATTCGTTCAGAAAGCTGTTGGAGTTACAAAATATTCTTTCAAGTGTAGTAGAAATGCAATTTTCATTCGAAAAAGGTATGTCTGCTGACGCTGTGCTTCACTTTCTGAAACAAAGTCGAAGCGTGAGAAAATTGACTATTCATCTACATAATGGAAGATATAGAGGAGACAAAACTCGTGACTACTTTAGAATGCTGCAAACGATATCATTAAATTTGAATGATGAGTGGAAAGTGTATATCATAGATCCGTATAGATATCCATTCAATTCAATTTATGATTCTGAATGCCATGTTATTGAAAAGATGAATATATGATAAATTTAATTTGAACAACATTGCTTCCAGGTTTGATTAAGGTATTCAATATTTCGGTTCAGAAAATTAATTTAATTAAACGTGTGAAATTTAGTTAATAAGTTTTTTTTATTAAATCTATTTCGTCAACTGTACTACATTTTTTTCTTTACATACCTAAAACTAAGTTCCTGGTTTGATAGGCCAAATTTTTTGCTGTTTCATTCGATGAATAATAATAAATATGAATTGTGAAATTAAATCAAAATATTTTTAATCTTGTAGCTTGATTGGTGGTTTTTTTGTGATGAAACAACAGAAAAAGGTGAACAAACATACGTGTTTGGATGGCTGAGCAACTCAGCATATCGTATGCAGCGGATATATCTCAGGCTGGCGATACAGGTGAAGATGATTGATAGTGATGTTGCGAATCCCTTGAGAATGTTATCGGCATATTTGACAACAACTGCCACGAGTAGACCGCCACCGGCAGAGCCACCAAGTATATAACGAATGCATCGTAGCCATGGAAAAATCCGTTTTGTGAACTTTACCAAAATCAAGCCACACGCACACGCCGAATCCAAGCGGAATGCTCAGCAGGCTCATTTGTACGTTTCACATCCAAACGGAAATGTCGGCACCTTTCAACATCTTTTCAAAGAAAATGCCCACAAAACCGGACAACACACATTCATCCAAAGCAGCGGCAAGATCGAGCAGTCGATTTTGTTCTAGATTATGTAGAGTTTTTGTTTCCTTTTGATCGGCCATCTGCACCATAACTACGTCAGCAATCAAAAGTGCTAACGAACCCCATTGCGTGACGAGTAATTTTTTTCGTAATATAATCACGTTGCTATAAACATTTGCTCTTTGATTACGTGCCGAATGTGCGAAGCAATCATCCAGTACTATTTACAAAGACGACCCGAAACCACAAGAAAAAACCCAAAATACACAGACTACTACTCACTTTGTATCATCATTATGAATGAGTGCCAACAATTTTAAAGCGGAACACGGTGTTTGTTTGCCCTTTAAATTTAAAATCAAGATTTTTTTTCGCAATCGCACGAATAAACAATAGTTTTGATAAGACTATCGCTAAAACCCTTATGCTGATGGCCTACACACAATCAACGCATAGCAATTAATACAAAATATTTATATCAAACGAGCACATATCGCATCTCTTTGAACACCAAGCTGCCGAACTGTACACTGTACAGCTCGAATCAATGAACTAGTATTCCATTCATTTTTTGTTCAACATTAAATAGATATGAATCTAATGTTTTTTTTGTCAGGTGAAAGCAACATCATCAGAGACATCATGAATATTTTTTTCTTCATTCGAATTGAAATATTTTTTCTTGAAATCTTGAATTAACCAGGAATTAAAGGAAGGAATCAAGTCAAAAAGTCAAGCGAAATAACAGCAGCACATTCGAATTTCGGTTCAAAATCGACTTGCTGTGACTTTGCTTGGAAACAACGGCGCGCATCGGGTAATACTAGGGGTTTTGAAATTTACGTGGCCGGCGATTCATAGCACAACTACATGCAAACATCGTTGATAAATTTGACAGTTTCAATGCATATACACACGAATACACTATTTTTTTCCTCTCTTCTTTATTTACTTATTTTGTATGCGACTCTCTCTCACTGCTGCTGTGTATGGGAATCACTAGCTGTTTGTGAACGAACAAATACAAGAGGACACCGAAACACTCTTTTTTTCTTTATCGTTTCGTTGGTCACAGATTTTCTTTTGTTTTTCACTTATCATTCCGTTTTGAGAATGAAATCGTAGTTTATTGTGCATCTGATGATGGAATTAATGTGCATTAGTTAAAAAATCGAATGTATTGTGTGTGTATAAAAGGGTGAAAGGGAGTTGAAAAACGAAAAAAAAACTAGGCAGATAGTTTTATTAGGCATACCAATAACAAGGCAGTGTGTGATGAAAAATGGCTCTCAAGAAAGTTAAAGGAAACTTTGAGCGAATGTTCGACAAAAATTTGACGGATTTAGTGCGTGGCATTCGAAATAATAAAGAAAATGAGGTAATTACAAATTGGATTGAATTGTGAAATTTTAATCAAACTGTTTTTGGTATTGCGGATGGAACAGTAACATTTGACGTGTGTGAAGTATGTTAGTTAATTGATTGAAGGTGATTGTGGTGTATGTGAGTGACATCGCGCACCATGTACACACCAATCCAGTCCAATCAATTTCGAAAGTTCACATTTTCAAATAATGTCCACCTCAAATTATGGTAATTGGCAATTATTTCGGTGTAAAAACAGTGGCTCATTTTCTGTTTATAGGCCAAATATATTGCGCAATGTATGGAAGAGATCAAGCAAGAGTTGCGCCAAGATAACATCAACGTGAAGTGCAATGCTGTGGCTAAGTTGACATATGTAAGTAGTTTTGCTGTAGTTAGCAAGTGGCTGTAGTCGCTATTCTCCATGGTTTACGTAAACAAGCGCAATTAAAATGGTGCAACTTGAACCTTTAATGACTTTTGAATCGTGTTTCTTACGGATTGGATGGTTTCTTCCTCCTATTTTAGATTCAAATGCTTGGCTATGACATTTCTTGGGCTGGATTTAACATCATTGAAGTAATGAGCTCGCCTAAGTTTACACACAAACGTATCGGTTATCTAGCAGCCTCACAATGCTTTCATGCCGACAGCGAAGTAAGTTTTTTCCATTTCAAATCCGCCTACCAATTATCTCACCGCTGCATCCATTTTAGCTTTTGATGCTTGCCACGAACATGATACGAAAAGATTTAAACTCACAAAATCAATACGATGCTGGCGTTGCACTCAGTGGCCTAAGTTGCTTCATATCAGCCGATTTGTCTCGAGATTTGGCCAATGATATTATGACTCTGGTGAGTGTCGCTTTAACTTGCCCGATCGTCCCCAATTTTTCTAATTGAATTAATTAATTAACCTTTGATACGAATCGCAATACAGATGAGCTCAACCAAACCATATCTTCGTATGAAAGCCGTTCTAATGATGTATAAAGTATTTTTACGATATCCTGAAGCATTGCGTCCAGCCTTTCCTAAATTAAAGGAGAAATTAGAAGATCCAGATCCAGGTACTTACTCTTTTTTCTGCCGTAAAAATGATTCAGTTCAATGATGCATTCACTATTTACGGTTTGTAGGTGTGCAATCGGCAGCTGTGAATGTGATTTGTGAATTGGCCCGAAAGAATCCGAAGAATTATCTTTAATTGGCACCAATCTTCTTCAAACTCATGACAACATCAACCAACAATTGGATGCTCATCAAGATTATCAAATTGGTAAGACATCATTACCTATCTCTCTGTCTCTTTCTTTGATTCAATTTTCAGTGTCTGAACATTTCAATTACAATCAGTTTGGGAGGCTGACAATGATCGAACCTGAGCTCGGTCGACGTTTGGCAGAACCGATAATCGATATTATCACAAGGTTTATTAAATTTACCAACTTATCCGTTGATACCAACTCGTTATTCGATGCATTGTGTTCTTTTTTTAGCTCTGTTTTTCTTTTAATACGGCTATTGTTCCTTTTAATTTGATTCATTGCTTTTTGATGTTTACAGTTTGGTGCATTGACTCCATTAGAGCCTCGCATAGGAAAGAAATTAATAGAACCGCTTACCAATCTTATCCATAGGTTTGCCATATTTCCATTTCATTCCATCACGTTTGCGCTCCAATTGAATGGATTGACTAATCGGAGTTTTGATGTGATTTTTTCTTTTTATAGTACCTCGGCTATGAGCTTGCTGTACGAATGCATAAACACGGTGATTGCTGTTTTGATCAGCATTAGCAGCGGAATGCCGAATCATACGGCATCTATTCAATTATGTGTCCAGAAATTACGAATACTCATCGAAGACTCTGATCAAAACTGTATGCGATTCTCTTTCTTTCACATCCTCTTCATGAGTTGAAGCACTCGCTAATCATTTGATCTCGTTGCAGTGAAATACCTTGGCCTTTTGGCAATGTCCAAAATTCTGAAAACCCATCCAAAGTCCGTGCAAGCACACAAAGACTTCATATTGGCGTGCCTGGACGATAAAGACGAATCGATTCGTTTGCGAGCACTGGATTTGCTGTACGGCATGGTATCGAAGAAGAATCTTATGGAAATCGTTCGACGATTATTGGGACACATGGAACGAGCCGAAGGATCGACGTATCGAGATGAACTGCTGTTTAAAGTCATTGAGATTTGCTCGCAAGGTTCATATCAATATGTCACAAACTTTGAATGGTATCTGACCGTTTTAGTGGAATTGATCCAGTTGGAATCGGGCTCAAAGCACGGTGAGAATTTGGCTTTTTTGTGTTTATGTTCATTAAAGCTCGACGTATATGTTTTAATTTTTATGAACAATCAAATTATAAAATCGCAATCCTGGTGTAAAATTCCCTTCTCCACTTGCAGGAAGTGTAATTGCAACTCAATTACTTGATGTGGCCATCCGGGTGCAAGCTGTACGTGCATTTGCTGTTTCCGAAATGACATCGTTGCTGGAGAGCTTCCCGACCACAAGTCAAAATGAATCTATGTACGAAGTATTGTATGCAGCCGCATGGATTGTTGGAGAGTTCTCGAAGTGAGTCAATGAAACGCATTTCATTTTTAATTTCACGATCAAACGGTGCATATTTAACTTTTACTTTCACCCTGCAAATGATTTAATTTCACCTATTCTCCTCCATTCAGTGAGCTAAATGCACCGGAGAAGACGTTGAATATTTTGTTGAAACAACGTTCGTTGCCGGGCCATATACAGGGAGTTTACGTGCAAAATATTTTGAAACTTTTTACACGAATCGTGACCGGACTACTGGAGCGTAACGATGTCAATAAAATTGTAACTCTATGCAATTTGCTGCTGAAGAGGCTACCGGTCTTCATCAGTTCGGGACATATAGAAGTGCAGGAACGAGCCAGTTCAGCGTTTATTCTTGTTCAGATGTTGCGCGAGCAATTCCCTTCAAATGATCCAGAGCTACAGGATGCTGATAGCATCTTAGTGATGACCGAACGGCCAGAGAATCCAAAAGAGGATGATATGCAATCCATTCCAATTGGCGCAATTGAAATCGTTCAGGAGATGGCAGTACTATTCGCCGGTGATTTGAATCCAGTTGCGCCAAAAGCGCAGAAAAAAGTTCCGTTACCCGATGGATTAGATTTGGATGTATGGATTAATCCACCGCCAGCTGAAAGCAGCGAGTCCAGTGATGAAGAACAAACCGATCTGTTTGTAGCGAACGACGAAACGGAACAAAAACGACCAGCAAAATCCGAGTTTACGCACGAGGAAATGGAACAGGTACATATTGATTGAGAATAATAACAATTCAATAAATGATGCATCAACAGCAAACGAAATAATTATTAGTATAATTAAATTAATTTCAAATATTTATGTCTGTGTCATCCGTTTCAGATGCGAGAAGCACGCCGAATCGATCAAATTCACAATCCAAATTACTTGAAATCAAAAACAGCGAAAAAGAATAAAATTGAGGAGCATAGCGACAATATCGAAGACATTCCAATTCAGGAGATAACTCTTGATATTCCCATCCAAATAACGTGTAAGTAAATTCTTGATCTCGTATCGATTTGTGGAGATTTTCATTATAATTTCATCTTCATCAGCTACAAAACGCTCGGATAAATACCTTGCCGAACAAAAGAAGCGAACTAAAAAAGAGAAGTCGCATAAAAAGAGCAAAAAGAACAAAAAATCGAAGCACAGGGATATTAGTAGCGAGTCTGAAGAAGGTTTGTTTGGTCAATCAACTCATTCTGAATTTAATTTGAATTATTTCAATGGGGATTGTTATTTGACAGAGCCTGCACCTTTGCACGTAGTCAGCTCATTGATTGAGATGCCCGAAGGAGCCAGTATCTCCGATACAGACGATAAGGATCCAAATGAAATGGATGATCCACATCGAGCGCTCGATATTGATTTAGATATGTGAGTGTTGCTCAAAAATTCAATTTCTTATATATAGATATTCGTGGCCAATTTTCAACCAACTTTCTTCTATTCTCCTAGACCGCTTCGAGGTGACGAGGTCCTGCCAAAGCAAAGCTACAATAAGGTGATTAAAGATGCTTCGTTGAAGACAACTTCAAATAGTCACGAATCAAAAGAGATTGGCGAAAGCAAATCCAAATCAAAGAAGTCAAAGACGCACAGCAGCTCCAAAACAAAAGAGAAACCCAGTGAAAATAACGAAAAATCCGGCCACAAGAAGAAGAAGAGCAAACCAACTAAAAGTGAAAATGGCGATGTAGATTTACTGGGAACGCCGGTCAAGGAAACCAAGGAAAAGTCCAATAAAAAAGAGGAAAAGGAGAAGAAAGAGAAAAAATCATCGAAAAGCAAGAAATCGAGCATCGGTGAATCAAAATCCGGCTACGAAGAAGCTTTGGGCATTTCAACTCCCAGCAAAGAGGTGTACTAGACAGACACTTTAGTGAATATCATTCGTTTTGAGATTATTCAGAGTCCAATAATGTTGCAAAAAAAGAGTCAAAGAAATGTTTGAAATGTGATTGAATTTACTAAAATGTCGTCAAATGGAACATGCTTTTATTTATATATCTGGAGTTTCAGCAAAAAACCACGACACAATTTACGATAACAATTCCATGCCTTCCGTTTTGAATCGCATCAAATGCCTATCAATTAGTAAACATTGAACAAATGTAACGGCTATAAAAAGAAACAAAACAAGAACCCTTTTGTTGTAAGAAATTTATATTGATGAACAAAAAGAAACAAAATCCAATTGATTAAAGTCAATGGCCAAAAACGAAACTTGTTCAGTGAATTAAACGAACGGAATAATCTAGTGAGGAATTTAGTTTAATAAGCTTGTAGTTAGAAATTAATCCGATCAATTGATACACAAATTATACGGCCACATATGAAATTATAACATTAAATCACAACACTGATTATTTTTAACCAATTCCTACCCCATTCTCTAAACCAACATGTTCTACTTCTCTATCCCTCTTTTGTTTTCAATGCTGCATTGTAGCCCAAGTAACACACATATTTCGTTAATAAAATGAGCAGAGAAACTAATGGCACACCGTGTTTGATAATCAAACTTTGATTAAATTGATATTATTTTTTTGCAGGATGTAGAAAAGTTTTTAACGTAATATAACCCGATCAATATTCAAACAGAAGAAAGAGTTAGAATTTATTGGGTGTATAACTTTGCTGCCGCCGTTTTCCAACAGATGGCTCCAGTGGTAAGTGCTGGTGAAAAATATCAGCTCTAAAACGTCATACGGTAAGCTTGGGCATCTGTCAACAATTCTGCACAAGGGGCTATCCACTCGAAAGTAATGCATAATACCTGCGAAGTAATACGAAGTAATACTAGGTAAAAGTGGTATTACTTTTGATAAAGTAATACCCCTTTTAAAAATAATACTATTGTTTGAAAAAAGTAATACTAAAGTAATACAAGGTAATATTTACATTAGTATTACTTAAAGTAATACTAATACACAGTATTACTTTTGAGTGGTTTGCCCCTCGATTCTGCATCATCACATTTGTAGCTTTTTATCTGCATCATAAATTTTATTGTACTCAAAAATGTCCGAGTTCGTGCCAAAAAAACAGCATTTGCGGGAGCAGTTTTTTTCATACGGGAAAAATGTGAAAAATAGATTATTCTTTTATCGAGTGGGCACTGGTAGTGAAGAATGGACGTTTCTCGATAGACACAAGCATATCAAACCACATTTTGATCGTGGTTACTTGTCATTATAGGGGGCGCCACAATCACTCCCCCGAAAAAGGGTGATTTTCCATATTTGCAGGGGTGGGGCAGATATGGTGCATTGGAAGGTGGTAGAAACTTATCAAATTGTTAGCTTTTATCGTTCTCAACAGAAACTAATCGGTATATACCAATTTCTGACAGCAAAATCGAAAAATTGACTTATCGCCGCAAAAAAAAGTCAAAAATTGGCTTGATTCCTTTTTGGCCCCCAAGCCGACATAGTTTTCTTGGGACGGAATCCATAAATTACCAGAAAGATGGGGAAAAGTCATAGCTTCCGATGGACAGTACTTTGAATAAATTATATTGTACAAATTTTTCACAATAAAGCCTCAAAAATTGAAAAAGTTATACACCCAATAGATTGAACAAAAAAAAACTGGTTCTTTCTAATTGGTGTTTATTTGAATAATAATCAAGAAAAAATCCATTTGTATTGTAGAAACAATGAAAAAAACGAGGAACCAAGTGGCAGTTCTGAGTTTTCTTCGTACTACGCTTATAAAAATGGTTTAAATGTGTTATTGAAATAACAAGTGTACAGGCAATATAGGCTGAGTACAACACATACCCTGTCTGAGTTTCTCGAATGTATTGTCGTTGCTAGCTTGTGATAAAAGTTCACATCAAATAGATTACGCGGAGAAAATGAATCCAGTTTTTACTTGTTGATTGATTAGATTGCTAAAAAAATTATGGATCATGAATGCCCGTTTTTTTTCTCGCAAGCTCGGAGTGGTCGGCAAATTTATTAACAGACATAGAAACTGTACTCATTGAGTAGGACTCAAATATAAGAGAACCGTTACGGAGTCGATTTGCTGGAGAAGCTCGACTAATGATCACTTTAGCTCCAACCGAGAATGGTTGACGGTAACTGACGTCATCATGGTTTTCTTTAAGTATCTGTGTCGTGATTTAGTTCTCGAATGAGTGAATCAAAAGACTTGAATTTCATTGAAAACCCGAAACCTTACAAGGATTTCTTTAGTTACATATTTTTTATTCACAATGTGCACCCTTGGTTAGAGTGAGAGTTGAGCTTATGAGTAAGTTTCATAATATTGCGTGGACATTAGAAACGAATAGAGTTGTGAGTACATCAGCGTAAAATTACGATACACTAATCCATTTGGTAATACTGACAAAAATTCACAGCTGTGTGCTTAGCTCTATCTAAAATCCACGTGGATCCATTTTCCGATTCTTTCAATGCTTGTATCATACTCTTAGCACATTCTTCCGCTCTGAATTATCAATTGATTTTTTGAAAAATACAACTTCATAAAAAAGTTCAATAAATTCTTACGTTTGACACCCATATTCTGCCATTATTCGGTTATATTCCTCGCCACCATCATAAGTCCCGAACATTTTCGGTAATAATTCTTTCAACAATTCAGTTTTTGTACCACCCGGGCATATGAGAACAAATTTTATCAACATTTATGTAAATGAAAAGTGAGTGTTCTTTTATTTCGAAAATGAT